CACAGGCAGTAGAGCACAGGGGAGATTTGCGTCCCTGAGGCACGCCCGCCCGTATGCGGCGGGTGGTTAGATTTTTGCGTGCAGAAACGCTCAACTTGGAAAACGACTGTTTCGCGCGAGGAAGGAGTGTACTAGTCGTAACAATAATAGAGGGGAAGTTGACTTCGTATGAGTGTTTGGCGAGGAGGCCGTCGTGGCAGAGCCCTTATCAAAGGCGCTGGCGACGTCTAGGAATAACTCCGGCCAGTTGAATCGCCGCTCGTTAAAGTTGTCGCCGATTCTGTCAACTATGCGCCAACTAGTGATGGGTAGTGTGTGGTGTGCGCCCAACCAAATTGCTCTTTATTAATTAGGCGTGCTTTTCGTAAAATTTATAATTCTCTAAGGCGAATTTTCTCGAAGTTTTGCCGAGTGTGTTAAGAAACCTGATTGTGTCTGTACGACTGGCGGCAAACTCTTATTCTTCCAGGTTTGGGAAAGTTTTAGCACGTGCGCGTGTTTCCCATTGGCCGCCAGAAAATAGCTGAAAGATGAAAATTGCGTTAAACAGGACACGCAATAAGTTTATAGGCACTTTGCGGGAGCTTTTTTGAGAATTTCGTTTTCTGATCCCTCTGTCCCGGGGCTTTTTCCGCTCCGTAGGGCTGCGATGGCGTCGATTACTTGCGGCGACGTCCCGTTAGCTCCGGCTCGTCGGCGGGGGTGCGTGCCAAAGCGGACGCTGCGACCGTGCAATGCACAGCTTTCGGCGAGCTCCGCAGGCGGTTGCTCCTCTACGGTGGAATTGCGATATCGAGGAGTCAGCGAAAAGCTCCGCTTTCTCCTCGTTCGCCTCCCACGTTGTCGCGTTCGCGTTTCGCAGCGGCGGGACTGAAACAGAAAGATTTTTGTTAAAGGCTTCGCTGTTAGTTGCCTTAGTGAGGCTATCCTCGCGGCTTTAGCTTTTCAGTAGGTTTTCCCCGCATCTTTCGAGTTTCTGTATTCCAGTTAAGGCATCGTCTACACGGCCGCCTTACTGGATTCAGAGCAAGCTTGGTCAGCCGGGTGTCCGCGTGCGCTGCTATTTCCGTCGCGCCCCGTTTTTTGCGCTGGAATTCGCAGAATTATTCGCGGGGGGGGGGAGCTCGCGGTCTCGCCTCTCGGTTCGCCCGGCGAAGGCGGCCGCACTCAGGCTATCGCGATAGCCTCCGCAAGCTGCTTTGCCTCCTGGTCGATCTGCTGCGGTCTTGTGATGAGCTCTGCTTCCGGGAGACGTTTCATCTACTTCTTTCTGAAGAGAGGCCAATAGTGCGTTTGGGGCGGGCGGGTGGAAGCGCAAGGGATGTTTTGCGGGTCGCTGCGCCCTATCTCGGCAATGACTGGGAGGTTATCAGAGGAGAGCTCGCAAGCTGTGGTGAGGTGCAATAGGAGTGGCCCCCAAGAATCCGCGAATGACTGGAATGTCCAAAACCGTCCGGTCGTCCTGCCGTTGACAGAGAAGTGCGTAGGTTGGCATCGGGCCTATCACTCTCGTAGCGTGCGCCCGCGTAGTTTTTCGCTGCCGGCCCGCGAGCGAGGTGATGCGGGAATTCCAAGACGGTGTTTTCGCGTTGAAATACCCGCAGGAGGGTAGGGATGCGGGCGAAGCGGCTCCAAAGAGCGTTGAGATCGCTCTGTTCTAGAGACGACTTGTCGCTGTGGGGGTAGGACCGAGATGATGCGCAAGCGGGCCCTTCATCGCCGGACCGCAACCGCCGTGGCCTCGATTCTGAATTGGCGGAAAGCTAATTCGTTTATGCCGCGATGTCGCGCGGACTAAAACTTCGCGTTCCGCGCGCCGGTTTGCATTCGGAGCCCGTGCCTGATCTGTCTGACCTGTACACGAAATGTAAGCCAGGGAGCAGACGAAACGATGCTTAGGTTGTAGTGGTTTCTCCCCACCTAGCAATCAGAATTGCTAGCTGATGCTTTGGGCGCGATGCGGCTAGCTCCGCCTGTTTTTTCCTGCTTACGATACTGTTTGCAGTTCCAAAAAGCAAGCGTGAGACGAGCTGGGGCTGCTGAAAAGTAATTGGAAATGTTATTGTTTTTGATGACTTGTGTAGCCTTCAGGGGCGGAAGGAGGCGGGGGCGGCAATCGGCTGCTCCCTCGGGCGGCGGCCTGGACTGCCTCGTGGTGTGGGCGTACTCAAGAAGTTGTCCCATGACCACTTGCAGGCAATCAGCCGCTCGGCTCACTCGCTCGGGGAACGGGCCGGTGATGGTGGCGGGTGATGGCGCAGGATCGTCAATGATGGGATCCACGTTTATTAAGGGCCAGGTCTTGCGCTACGTCTTTCATGAAACCTCTTCTGCTCTTCCAATGGTGTATGGAACGCGGGAGTTTATCTCTTCTTCTCTTACGGTACCCCGTCGTCTCGCGGGCGGCTGTTCGATGTTGGCAGGGAGGGCCCTTGTTTGCGTAGGTTGGGAGGGCGGGAGGGGGCGGCGGGTGGAGAGGCGGAGGCGCGCAGCGCGCGGGGCGCGCTTGCCGGGAGCGGCTGCGGCGGCGGCGATGGGCTGCGGCGCTGCGGCGCCGCTCTCTCCCGTGAGGGCGAGCGGGTCGACGCCGTCTCGGCGCTTGAAGCGGCGCTCGATGTGGGCCCGATCATCTCGTCGTCTCTGCTCCTCGTTGCCTCTGAAACAGCGGCGCTGGTACTCGGGGCAACCCTTGTACCCAGCGCCGTGGTGGTCTGCGCTACAGTTGGCGCAGCGCCGAGACTCCACGGGCGGGTTGTCCCCGAGGGGGCAAGCCGCCGTGTCGTGCGCTGCGCCGCACTTCCCACAGCGCGGGTGGCGTGCGCAGTGCCGCTGCACGTGACCGAAGTCAAGGCAGTTGCGGCACTGCACGGGTCCTCTCGGCGGCCGATAGTGCTCCACCGAGATGCGAAGCCCCTGTAGCTCTCGCAGCGCGAAGATTCTGCGCTGGTCCGCCTCGTCCGGCAGCGTCACGAGGACGAGCGGGATGGGTCGTTCTCTTCGCCCGTGTTTGCGGCCGCTCTGCTTTCTCCGCCTGAAAATTGAGCGGAGACCGCCCGAGGGCGGCGATTAATGCTTGCGAGTCAGTAGAAAGCGGAACGCCCGCAGCGTCCGCGCATTACCGATGGAATACGTATGGTATTCCATCGTTCTATCCCTTAGCAGGGCAACGGAGGCCGTGTAATCCTCCATTGTGGCCGTACGGAGGCGTACGGCTTCTCCTGTCGCTTCCGCAGCGACCGGATCCCCGCACACACCCCGCAACGCCACCAAGAGGGAGAACACTTCTCCGCTCCCGAACACGTGGATAGGGGGTGGGCGTCGTTGGCGGCGGACGAGCGTGAACCCGTCTTCTTCTTGGAGGGCAGCGGCGGCGTCCGGCGTCGAAGCCGGTGGCCCGTTCCTAGCGGCGGTGGCTGCCGTTGGCGGCGATGCGGCCGCCGTGCGTTGGGGCGCGGAGGGACCGCTCCCATCGTTGGACCTGTGGGCAGAAGCAACGCGCAGGTGAGAACAGATTCTTTCTGTTGAAGGGGAAGCCATGCGCAAGCGCTTCGGTGACCCCGCGTGGCGATACGCCCCGCGTCCGCGGCTGCCGCTTTCGCCCTCCGGTGGAGTTTGAAACGCGGCGCCCGGTGATGCAGCGCTCGACATCGTTGTTTGGCCCGAGGGCCTCGCTCGGCTGGCTGGTTTGCCCTTATGTCCTAAAAAGGACTGTTGTTTCCCTCACTGTCCGGAGCTCTTCTCAGGAGCGTCCGTCCTCTCCAATACCCTGTTTCGGACTGCTGCTGGAACAAACCTTTTATCTCGTACGGAATGCATCCGTGCCCCTCGAAGCCGGCGCCCCACGCGTGGCAGTGCGGCATGGGGGAGGAGGGCATTGTATTTTGCCAAACTTCACTTTACGACGCGCCTATTCAGCCGATTTGTACGTTTGACACGGCGTTGGATTTAGTAAGCAGTTCACCATCGCGCTATAAGCCCACATTTTTAAATTTCTTCCCAAAACTATTCCAAAACTAATTTTTCAATTTTTTTCCAAAGAGGCTTCGTGGAATAAATTTTATATTAAGTACAAATCATATATCATTTACTGATTGGAAATTGGACCACTTGTTCAGAGGTTATTAGTAAAGTAATTTTGGCTTAGTTTGGTGCTGCTACGTGGTGGCGACAAATTGAAATAGTGTCGGAACATTCGGCGGGCAAGAAAGTAAAAAAGTTACAAGTATTGGAAAAACTTATATTATCTGATACAAGTAATAAAGAAACTAAGTTCGTCTTCTGTTATATACTCTCTCTCTTCACGACAAAAATCTGCCGCTATTTTCATTGTCCAGTGTTATTGTTGTAGAAAATGTTTCTTTCGAACTTGAAGATGTAATGCAGAGACTGCTGTGAAACTTAGCTACCGAGCATTCTTTTGTCCTCTACTTTAGAGAAAGCAAATAAATTCTTTTAAAATTCTGGATGCCTGAATCACGACACGAATTCATTTCGCCCTTTTCAGTGTCAACTCATAACACTTCTCATTTAAGATGATGTAAGGCAAGAATGCCCACTGTTGCCAACAATTTTTAACGTATATATTGACAAGGCCTTTCAAATAAGGCAAAATTATCTTAAGGATCATTTTAGTGTCAACAACTCCATAATAGACGCACTGTTCTTTGCTGATGACCAGATCATTATATTTAATTCTGAAGATAAGCTTCAGTTTGCTGTTCACTCTTTGAACCATATTTATAGAGAGTATAATTTACAAATATCTATTGATAAAAATAAGATAATGGCATTAATAGAATGCTTTAAGATCTAAAATAATACTTATCTTAGAACAAATCAGCAATTTTCACTATCTAGGTTACAATATCTCATACAGGAATAATAATGCAATAAATAATTTCACCAAATGCATAGGACCATCAATCAAAATCTCAATGCAACAAGCAAAGAATCATGCCAAAAATTCTATTAAGTAATGGCTATCCTCATGCTTCTTACAGATCTGAGCACTGGACTCTAATGCAAAATCAAGCAGGCCAAATTGATGCTGCTGAAAAGAAATTTCTCAGACACATGGCAGGATACACTTTCGAAGATCAAAAAAGAAATGATATATGTCAGGAACTAAATATCACTAGTATCCTTGATAAAATCAAAAGATACAGAGGAAATTGGTAGGAACATCTTGACAGACTGACTTGCATAAAAGCTCATTATCATAACATAGTGCTAAATCATTTTATCAAAACTGTGTGCTAAATAATTAATTTGCTAGGAATTTGTTAACAAAGAATTCTGGAAGATTTAAATTCTTAGACTGCAGTAACTATTCATTAATGGTGTTATAAAGGATTCATGATCTCACAAACAGAAAATCATTTTGATATTCTGCTTTAGTATCAAACTGCAAGCAAATAAAAAACACGAAGCACAGAAATTACATAATCCAATTATCCAACAATCTATTAGTGTTGTTCTCAGTCATTTTAAAGATAATTTTGTGATGAAAACCAATATTAACATTTTTGAATTTGTAATTTTTGTTTACAATATAAAATGCAATTGATCACTTTGTTGATTCATTAAAATAATATTCAATTTTTATTCTGTTATTATGTAATGCTGTGAGAAAAAACAGTGATTTTTTTATTTGTGAAAGTAGTAGAGTACTTTTTAAATACATGACCATTTGTTTGAAGATAGCTTAACATGTTAACGTGGAAGACTGGGCCAATAATGAATAGGAGATAAAAAATTATGTGAAAACTTTTTGGAATCATGTAAATAGTTTAAAGGCAAGTCATGATCTACCAAGTGTAATGGAATGTGGTGAGAAAAAAGCCACATCAGGAAAGGAAATAGTTGACTTATTAGCAGATCGATTTCAATCTTGTTACAATGAAAATGTTTACAGAGTGGAGATTTCTGATGCGGTGTTAAATAAACTAAAACATTTTAAAATAAATTTGTAGCGGGTCCTGATGAAATTCCAGAAAAAAAATATTAAAAGATTGTGCAGGTGGTTTTGCATTACTTCTGAGTATTTTATTTAACAAATCACTTTCAACCAACTCCCTTCCAAAAGTTTGGAAGAAGAGATTCATTATACTGATTTTTAAATCAGGTAAGAGAAATGATATCACAAACTACAGACCTGTATGTATCTTAAATGTTGTCAAAGTGTTTGAAAACATTCTATTGCATATCCTGAAACCTCAATTAAAAAAATTATATTATAGAACAACAACACGGTTTTGTAAATGGTAAATCAACCACAACAAATATTCTGCTATTTCTAATGATGACAAAAAGTACTTGGATGAAGGTAAACAAGTAGATGTAATTTACACGGATTTCAGAAAAGCATGATTTTCAGCACGGATCATCAAGCACAGATTTCACTAAAGTTGATATTGATATTCTATTGAAAAAGTGTGAAAAATGTGTGAAATGGGTTTAGAAGAATTTTGCATGGAATTAGAGAGAAATTATTTGAGAAAGAGAACACATCTGGTAAAATATAGTGATTTTCAATCTCGTGAAATTAATGTAGCAACAGAAGACCCACAAGGATATCACTTGGGACCAATTTTGTTTATAATTTTCATTAATGATATAAAAACTCTTCTTTTTTATTATATGCACATGATTGTAAGTTTTGGTGAATGATTGATGAGGAAGAAGATTCTAGACTACTACAGAAAGATAACACATTTAACTAATGTTGAATGGAAAATAAGCTCCAATTGAATTATAATGTCTAAATTATTAAGGTATGTTAAAGGTAATAATAAAGTTCAGAATATATGTAATTGATTTGAGTTGTCATGATTGAAGAAATTAATCAAATTAAAGATCTAGTAGTAGTGATGGATCCAAAAATGCTATTTTATGATCACGTTAATTATATAGTTAATGAGTCTTTAAAACTATTAGGTTTTTTAAAAAGACAAACACACTTTAAACAACCTGATACAATAGGGAATTTGTATAATGCATTAGTGAAATCAAAATTGATGTACTGCTTAGTAGTATCGTCTCCAAATGTTATTTTGCAATAAAAAAATTAGAGAGTGAACAACAAATATTTTTCAAATATGTATCATTCAAGATTAAAAATCCAATGCAATTTATTCCCATGATTATTCAGACATTTCCCTGAAAACTAAATTACTGTCTTTAGAATTATCACATTTATTATAGAACAATAAATTAATGTACAATCTTTTAAATACTAAAATTGATTGCCCAGAATTAAGAACTTTATTTGTTCATGACAATAATCCATGTAATATAAGAAGAAAAGTTTTATTTAAAGAAATGTTTTGCAAAACACAAACTTACTATTCTTCATCAGTAACTTGTTTAACAAGATATTGCAATGAATATTTGAGCAATGAACAATTAGGTATGAGTGAGGCAATTTTTGTAAGATGTTTGAAACAAATAATATAGAACTTTAGCTGATAGAATTATTTATTACTAATTTGTAACTTCATTAATTGCATTTTTTTTGTTAATATTAATATTTCTTACTACATTAACTTCTGTTTGTACATCAACTCTGTGTAATATATAATTTCATTTGGGCAAATAAGCCTGTTGTATAAATAAATAAATTCTAGAATGTGACAGATTATTTGATGTTGATGAGAAACATAACAAATTATATTGATAATACTAACAATTATACAATATTATTTGTTGAATAAATAGACAATTGAAAGAACTGTCTTTTGCTTAATACAAAACCTTTGCTTCAAATTTCTTGATAAGATGTTAAAGATGTTCAGGATGACAATAAAACTTAAAATAGCTGGGTGCTCAAAACTTTTGTAAACCAGCTGTGCAATTTTCTTTTTCGAGCTAGGCCCGTCGAAAAAGCAACTTCTGTGGAAATTTCAATGGATGTCATAGTACAATACACGCCACATCACTAATATTCATATTTTAATTTCATTAAAATCTGCTCCCTACTTATAAGTATATATTTTGCAGACAATTCAAAAGAAATTCAAATATATTTATATCACACAGCCCCAGTGACGTTCATTGTGTGTGTGTGTGTGTGTGTGTGTGGGGGGGGGGCTGGTGGCACTATAAAATTTTATAGTTGGAATTATGTAATTATTTATCTGAAAAATTATATTTCAGTTATTCTGAATTACTTATAGGTTTTAATACAATATAAATAAATGTAATGGCAGATACTTTTGTATTTTTATTAATTAATGTATGAACTACTCAGTGTTACTAAGAAAATTAGTTCTATGTATGAACTCCTTGTTAATTAATGTATGAACTACTCAGTGTTACTAAGAAAATTAGTTCTATGTATGAACATCCTTTGATTCCAATTACTTCTCTGCCAATTCATGCATTTAAGTCACCAGCTATTATGATATAAGTGTTTTTCTCACATTGATATATTACAGTTTGCAAACCAAGTGGTAAGATAGAACATTTCTACAAGGATTGCAAAATTGGTTTAATTTTAAATGTAATACAGGTAGTTGTTCAAATGAATGTCTAAATCATGATGATGAAAAGTGTTATTTATTTGTTGCAAAATCTATTTCTTAGACAATTCCAGATGAAAATAAAATGTTGATGAATGGTTTAATGATAACTTGCAATGTGCAACTTATCATATGACAAATAGTTGTAAATGGTATTATTCTTATAAAACATATCAAAACATTGTCAGTGAGCAAATTGAAGCTGTTTTATTGGGCTGGGAAGATGAATAGATATTGGACAGAGAAACACGAACAGATCATTATTTTGAAGATGTCTTGATAGAACGTGCAATTTATTTTCAATTTAAAAGGTTGAACAAAAATGCATGGAGCAAATCATTAAGAATGGAGATCATGACCACAAATCCAGAATTCCACAAGCTGTTGCTTCATTACAGGGTGTGATATAAATTTATCAATTACCCATAAAATAAGGAATCAATATATTTTTTTAGAAAATCTACTGATGTAAAAAATACAATAGCTTTTGGGAAAACATTGTTGCATTTCTTTCACCACCTGGTAAGTCTCGTTGAGAGTCTAATGTTGATACGACTCTCAAATCAGAATTGTCTCAAGCTGATATTTGTGGCCAACGTGTATATGATAAATATTACCCTGTTTTCATGGATAAATTTACTAATTTTATAATGACTTACCTGCTGTGAAGTGAAGGAAAAAATGCCAATTTTTATTGGGACAATACAGAATGCATACTCAAGTTAATATCAAAGTAAAAAAAACAACAAAAAAACCTGATATTCAATATTTTCGGAATTATGCAAACATTGGATTAAACTATTTACACACACCATACACTCTGAAAGAAAATTGACTTACAGAAAGTGAGAACATCTCTTGTAAATCTGCAAATTCATGGTTACTACATATCTTCCAAATTTTTTATGGGGTTAATCTATTCTTACTGCAACTTATTCTTTGAATTATTGAACTGATCCAACAAAAATTGAGAAGACATTTTCAACAGTTATATTTTGAAAAGAAAGAAAGTTTTGTTAATCTGCAATATATTTGGGATGTAGTTTTTCATTAATTCCTCAGAAGCAAAAGTAATTTGCTGCAAAGTCTATTAGAGGTTATGCTGATTGTGAAAAACCTTTTTTAATTTCCAGGGAAGAATGAAGATTTCTATGGATTTCTACAGATAGGATATTTTACAGCAACCAGTGAAGATTGGTATTCCCATTTATTAGATGTTTAATTGAAAGGCATAAATGGAAATTTGTGTATCATACTGAAATCAAAAAAAAATAATTCAGTGGAAAAGTATTCTAGAAAACCTCAATAAAATCAATACAGGATTATTATTTAAGGTCAACAAGAAAATGTCATCAATCAAAATCAAACTAGTAATAAAGAAATGTCAAGGTAATGTTGAAAATTAAATATAATTTCGAGGCAGAGACAGTTAATTGATAACATTACAAGATTAAATTCAGTTATCAATGACCCACCAGCAATGTTACAAAAAGAAAACCCGAAGAATTATAATGAAGCACTACAATCTAAATATTGATGTGGATAATTGTTATGGATGTGTTAAAATCATTAAAGGACAATGAAACTAGGAATTTAGTTTGATTTACCATCAAAAGATAAATTTATTGATAATAGCTGCATTTTCGTGTAATGAATTCTTTACACCAAACAAAATCAGTCAATACAAAGCAAGACTGCAATGATTTTTAGAGCAGGTTTGGATTATACTAAGTTTAGCCTACCTGTATGAAAAAAACTATCGGGCAACTTCTTGGAGATGAGGTTGAAAGATACAAATATAAACCACTGATGTACACACGGCATTTTTCGTGGAATTCTTGATACTCACCTCAAGGCTTTCAAGATAAAATTGAAGAGTACCTATGTAAATTTATTTGTATACATTGATGTAATACAGTAGTTAATTCAATTGCTTTGAAAATTTATCTCATTAGAGAGTAATGCCAATCCATTGTCCCTCTCCCTTTTTTATTTCATGATGGATGAATTGTGGTAAAAGCTATAGAAGAGTCAGCCTAAGAAGGTTCTGAAATGACAGTTCGCTAAACAGTGAACATCATATGTACTTCACAAAAGTATCCCTCAGCTGTGACAGCTGATCAGCCACCTCTTTGTAGTTTGTTTATAGCTCCCATTAACACATCATGTCTTCTCATGGATCACAACTGCTATTACATAAAAAGTAAATTGATAAATGCAAAGCACAGAATGCTCTATATCACAGCTCGCCACATTACCACAGAAGAGTAGAAAACCTGTGCACCAGCATGCATCTGACATTCAAGACCGTTTTAAAATAAACAAAACTCATCATACTAACGTGTACTCAATGTTTATTACAAAAAAAAAGTTTGTCATTTACGAGTTATCCAAGTGCTAACTAAGTAATAATAGTAGAACGGTCTCAAGGATGACCACAGAACCATAAGTTATGTTGCCAGCACTAGATGTCACTAGTCTTATCTTATAAAAATTGCTTTACATTTGGTAAGTGAATGTATGTACAAATTAGACATAATACAATTACACTGTGTGTGCTCAGGATTGCCAATAACATAATGAAATTAATCAAGAAGCTAACACAAAAAATATATTGTAGAAGTTACCATTTTTATTTTCATACTTGATTATAACAAAAACATGTAATAATCTTTTTGAATACAGAAGACTATATGTAGTCATTTTTATATGTAATTAACATAAAACTTGAATTGAAAAATAATTTCAAATGGTGATTACAGCATATGTTAAAAATAATTTCAATATACTAAATATTTACTGCAATGATTTGTGTTCTCTTTCATTTGCGAAGACTACTACAAACAATTTCAAATAGATGCCAAGAAGTCCTATGAGAAATTCATGACAAATCTACAACCAAATTAGAATGCATTATATTAACATTCACTGAAGTTGGGCAGCGAATAAAAGGAAGTAAAAGCATTTTCTTATAAATTAATGTTTCTTTTGAAGAATATATAATTATAACAGCATGAAATAAGGAAGTTGCTTAGCAGCAAGTTCTTCTAATCAAGTATAATTGTCAGGACAGTTGGTTAGTTTAAACACTCCTAATACGTAAAACAAAACAATATCTTGTGTAACAATACCACTGCTTAAAATGCTAATCTACTGCTGCAATATAAAACATGTATCCATTACCACTCATTAACAAATCATAGTACTCCAAAATCATTTAACTATAATAGTTATTTTCCTTTCACCATTGCCGTCAACAAGGCTTTACGTAAAGTGTCAACCAACTTTTCTAACTCCTCAGCTCTGATTTTCAGTCTCTGATTCTCAACTTCTAACTGAGCAGCTTGGACCTTCATCTCTTCTTCTCTTGCCTTCCTGTTCTGTCGAGATTTTCTAGATGCTTCGTTATTTCGATCTCTCAATTCCCTATAGCGTGAGCACTCATTAGTAGTCTTTGAACAAGAAGCAGTACGTTTTTTTACTTTGACTGGTGGACTATATTCGTCGTCATCGTCATCATCTGAACTGGCCGATTCATCAACTACTACTAATTTCTTCACTCTGTGTTTCCTTTTCTGGGAACTGCAAGATGGCTTCGAGTGTGTGTCTGGATCCTTTTTAATGCAGATGCGAACTGGAGAATACTCAGCTGAAGGTACAACAACAAAATGAGGCTTACAAGACAAATCTTCTTGAACAGATGTTAAAGTACTTTCTGATGTAGGGTCTTCAACTGTGAACTCTTCTTTGAGAGAGGTATCAGTGTCATGGGAAACTGACAGTGAATCAGCAGCAGCAGATTGATTTTGTGGCACTTCACATGTACCTCTTCCATTGACATTGTCCTAAAAAAACAACAAAAAAAGCCATTTGCAAAATGCTTCGGCAAAAGACAACAAATTATAAACATTTAAAAGTAAAGGAAGACTTACCTCTAAAACATATTGAACTAAATCAAATCCAGGTTGAGTATCCAGCCTTTCAATAACATCAGGTGTATTCAGTGCAACAGGATTTTCAAAGGTTGTCAATGGCAAGGATAACTTTGTTGGCATTCGACCACTCTGGGTAAGAGGTGTATCCTCAACAACCATAATTTCTGCAATTGAGGAATTGTTCGAGACTTCTGTATTTAATGAGAACAATTCCACAGTTTCCATCCTCTCATTGATTGATGTACTGTCAGACATCTCCACTTTCACATCATTTCCCACATCAGTGCTCATAGGTTCATTTGAAACATCTACTCGAGAAGTAAAGGATTCAGTTTGTTCATGAATAACAGAATCTCCTGGGTTATAATCTAGGTGCATTAACCCCATGTTTCTTTCATCAGGAAGGTCATTTGGATTTTGTTGATCAGAAAACAAACTTTCTTCTTCACAGTGACCACCTCCTATCTTCCCAAAAGCATTTTCTTCAAATAGATAATGATCTTCAACAGACTCTGATTTTGACCAAGAGTCAAAATTGAATTCTTCATAACCTACAAAACATTGAAAATGGTTTCAAATATAATGCAAAAGCATCTAACTAAAAATTAGCAAAGTTGCTATAAAGTACATGTAACCAGCAGCAGTGTACAGTTATTTCTCCGACTTCAACCCTTAAGTTGGCAAGGTTCATTGGAAAATCCATGGAATCTCAGGACTGTTAAATCACCCTTAATTGGAGTCTATTTCAAATTTAACAAAGGCATAAACCAATTAATTACCAATTTCAGGAGTGTTCAGTTCATCGTCTAGTGGTCCAATTATGCTTCCTGCGCCAGTCGCCATGCCTTTGGTCAAATTGGGCAGTTTGGGATCTTGGCAGTACAATGAAAGATCCTGAAAATTTTCTTCCCACATACTTGTCGATTCCATGACAGAACTGGGTCCTGGACTTATCACTGTAACATATAAAAGGTCCTGAAAACCTGAAAGCTTAAGACAGATAATTGTAAGTAATATTTGCTCTTTACTAACATGGAATTTCTGGAGAGTTGTCGAATGCTGGAGGTGCCTCGTAATCTCCACCTGAAGTTAAGCCCCACTGGGACAAACTTGAAGTCAGTGTCCTGTCTGATAGGAGAGGATTGTTTGCACCACCTGCTTTTGAAGTGGCTATGTTCAGCTTGCAGTTCTCGGCAGAGGGTGTTGACCTTCGCAGGGGACATGATGCACGGGACTGGAAGAAATAGAAATGAAAATCATGGTGCAAATTACAGTGAAGAAGATTAGATGAAATTTCATACAAAAACTCACAGTTAATTCACCGTGTCTTGAAATAGAAATGTTGGCGACTAAATGAACCCTGTTCAAAGGGATTGTTGAGCTTCTCTCAACCTGCAACATAAGCAAAGATAATTAACACTCTTCCTCAGCAATATCACAAGTTGTCAATTAAAGCTGCAAATCACATTATTTACCCAGACAAAAAAAAAGTATAAATCTTACGGAAATTCTATAGCAACTATTCTGTATTACTGGTTCTGGAGTCCACTTCCCATAATATCCAACTATACACTAAGTAATTTGCTATCATTTTACTAGGAATTGGAACCCAACAGGGATGTAAAATTAAACACTCTTCCCCAGTGTTTCAAATTACTTTGCCCATCATTGTCGGAGATTCTACTCTCTAATCAAAAGTTTTCATTTAGTATTATTTTAAAATTGGACTTTAGCTTTTGCAAGTAGGACACAAAAGAAAATTAATAAACTTAATAAATTAAAAATAAAATAAGTTTTGTAGCCCAAAAATATGTATTTTACATACTTGGATGATTATAAGTTCAAGTAATAATATATCAAATTATACACTCAAGGAAAAAAATTGCACAGAACAGGTGGCAGCCATATTGGCTAATTCAACATTGCGCAACATTGCGCAATATGCTACAGCATGAAACAGTTTATTTTGCAAGCATTTCAATTGTATTCAGAGCAACAAGGATTGTAAATCCTACCACCCAACTAAACATTTAACAGATAATTACAAAAGAAATATTAGTCGTGAGTACAGGTACTAAACTTGTTCCAAATAAAGTCCACTTCACCTTACAATTTCCTACAATTAGGTACATCGAACATTCCAGTGTGCACTTTTATATAGTTAGAAATAAAAACAATAATCAGGCTTCATTGCATAAAACTCACCTTCCCTTCGATGTGATAGGATTATATTTCCAGTGATATTATAGAGATTCACACTCAAAGAGATTTTCTATGCGCAATACAAACGATGCAACTGTATGTTACACGACTAAATGGTTCTGCTTTAGACAAATCGAATAATTCTTTATAGTTTTCAGAGGGGCAATCTTAAAGGACTCGCGAGTCAGCTCGTATACAACTTCCAAAGCTTGAGCCCAGGAGCTCTGTGCGCTCTCCGGCAGCGTTCGCCAATATATAACCTTTGCGCCTGTTCTAAAAATAGAAGCTACATCATCGTCCTCCAATGTGGAAGTGAATATGACGTTAGATTTGACCAATGACGAGCGAGATTTCCCCGCCTCTCCTCCTCAGACATGCACCGACGTGCCTGAAAACGTCAGCGCGATGTTTTCCTCCTGGATTCTGGGAATCCCCCAGTAAGTCACATTTTGAGGAAAATTAAACCTTTAATCTCATCTTGATCGTTAGTTTTTATACATTAGTAGAGTATTATCTTTTTTTATTGTACGTAACAATAAAGTGATGATCCTATCTCAAATAAAATAACGGAAACGTAATGATGACCATGACGAAGCATTTCTAAAAGACTTCGGGTAGTTCCGAAGCTCGCAGATTTTGTCATGTTAATAGGTAATTTAGAACGGTTAATACCTAATCAACATACACATAAAGCGTTATAATCGCATAATTCATTTAGTATTTGAACGTTCATCCTCTAAAAGAAGAGTAATGAATCTGAGTAAATGTAAATTATTGGTGTATCAAAAAAAATTTTTTTTTTTGTTTATATTAAAACCCTTAATACGGAAATAAGAAAAAACGTTAATACAGAAAGCGAAGTTGTAAAGTAACATCCTTAATTTTGTTCTATCTTGGTCATTTGAATATTATATATGAAAAGCTCCGACAACACTCAAAACACGTTATCTACACTATGATTAGGCATCACTTAAAAAAGAATGATATTCGCTCGGTTGCTGATCTATTGGCGCATCACAATGCAAATGTACGTGATTGTAATTATATGAATTATGTTAATTAATAATGCCTGGAACAATATTATAAAACAATACACATATATTCGAAATAGTTTAACCGTGGGACCAACAATCTTCGGAAAACAAGATTACGATCTCCTATGTGTGGCGCGAAATACGAAACACTTCATACTATTAAAGTTTGCCATGATAATCTGTGAGTAGTAAAATCAGTTATTATTTTCATTCAAGTACGTATCGTCGTATAAACTGAGAAATAATTTCAGACTAAAACGCGCAGCATTATAGACTTTCGTATAACATTAGGATTTACGAGACTCATTTGTAATCAGTATCTATATTAGTTTAATACATTTTTTGATATGGGAATCAAAATATCTAATTTTGACTAACGATGCAATTGCACTTGAACATTGAAGCTTATGTCATGTAGCGGTGTTAATAACATGCGTTATATCAAAAAAAAAAGTTACAATAAAAATTGAGTAGGTCTTACATTGTTGATGAGAAGGCACCAAATAAATTTGTTCCTTGGTTCTTCCTGCAAACTTATTTGGGAAGTGGTTCTTGGGGTCCCGAGATCGCGCAACGGGCTATCAGCGACGATGAAACCAAAATAATTCCCGATTAGTGATCAAACCACAGCCTTCCTATGCGACAGGACGCTGGACTATGAGCGCGACTTACTCGCAGCAAGTGGTGACTTGTGTGGGCTTACGGGCGCCTTCTGGGAGGGCTTCGCGGGTACCAACATTGTATGGAAGTGTAGGGAGTGGGGTGCACGCAGGCAAGTCGCCAACGACGTGGAGCGTTAGACGTGTATCGGAAACCGCGTGGGTTAGGTGATGCAATCGAACACACTTCTGGCGTTTAATAAGTGTGACGTATAATTTGTTTAAATTTATCACATATTTCCAAAAGTCCATACTTGGTTTCATCCTTCAGTCCATAAATTGTTTATAATAATGACAAGAAATAATAAATTACATACTAGATTGGCCTAATTTTACTCAATGTTTCACTTCAGTTTGGCTTGATACAGAATTACAAAATAATATAATAGTAATAATAATAATAATAATAATAATAATAATAATAATAAAAAAGATTGAGAAGTGCAAGACATTGCATTATTGGGAACAGCCAACATTTTGCACAAAATATTGTAAAGGCACCAACAGTCCCTAGATCTGCTCCCTAGGAGCAGGTTGTAATCTGGAGTATATTTTGTAACCAACTGACTCATAACATCTTTAGTTGTGAATATGAGGAGGAATAATAACAACAATAATAATAATTAGTATGTTTTGCAGTGGTTCTGACATTGGAACATTATGTACAACTCACTACTGAATTTACAATTTTTTAAACATTCAATGTATATGTCATTTGCTGATGCTTTCATAATAATTTTTAAAAGTCCTTCTGATGATAAAGTAGTAAATTATGTCTGTGCTGAGGACCAAAAGTTAGAAACATCAGTGAAAAAATGTTAAGACCAATTCTGTGATACCAAGCCCATGGTCATGCTGGTTTCAGAGAAAAAACAGTGAACTAAGGAATTTAAAGTTTATATGCATAATATAGAAATTCTAAAAGTCAAAGAAAGTAAATATTTAGGAGTTTATTTGAATCATGTATTCCATTTGATACACATATTGAGTTCACATCTAAGGAACATGTCTGAAGAATTAGAGGGATCTAGGACAACAAACTATAAAAAAAATCCAAAAACAGACTTTTGTGCCATTGTTAACATAGGTAGCACCTGGTTGGGAAGGGAGTCTACAAAGAAACAACAATAAACAGTTAAAATGAATTCAAAGAACGATAAACATAAAGCTGCACACACTTATCTGAAGATCATATGAAGCTTTTTGCATAATTGCTGGTAAAACATCTATGAATATTACAATTGAAGAAGTGCAAATCTACAAAACCACTCACTACTTGGCTCTTTAATATGCTGGATTTGATGCCCCACTGAGCAAAACAGAATGGGCCAACCAAGCTGAATGAACTAGTATAGAAGCAATAGGTAGGGGCATGGTAGGAAGGGAGGGAGCATCCTAAAAATTTCGAAAGGGGCCCTGTGGCACTAGGTCATAAAATGTTTTAATTCCATAAATATTAATTTCTAATTTTCCCCTTTTGAAAGCTGATATTCTGGGGAATTGATACATGAATCTTTAGTAATGAAATGGCTTGACAAACTTGCTGAAATAGCAGCTACAGAAAGTAATAAAAATTTAGCATATAAGAAGATACCTAAGAATACAATTATAAACAAATAGAAAACGAAACATTCAAAATGGCAGAATCAATGGTATAACTCAACTAAAGAAGCTAAATGTAAAAAATGATTTCCATCAATTCAACAAAAAATGAGCCAGTATATATACCCTAGTTGTTAAATACACTAAAATCTAAGCCAGAATTGATTGAAACAAAAATCTGGTTTAGGGAGGTATACTTTTCATGGAGGGTTGTCCATTTTATGACACTTCTGATATTGATATTTCCATCCTGAAACTAGTAAATGACATGTCTATTACAAGTATTAAATGCATTAATATGTAACATTTATGGAAGAAATCATCATATCAAGAAATGGATAGTAAACATATTTCTAAAAATGAAAAGAAAGTACTTCACAATCTGTGCACTAAATTATTATTTTTTTCAACATACATCTAGTGTTTTGGTTTTGCTCCAATTTAATTTTACATAATTTATAGTTTCCGCTCACTTCTGGCAAACAAATAGGGATCATCAGACTCTTTAAATCTTAACTCAATTCATCATTTCCTTGATTCCTATGTTCTTTTTGATTTCTTCCACTTACATAATTCAAAATGCATCATATGATACCTTGCATTTTCACATGTTTCCGGATTGTACCTCTGCATACTTCCCATATTATTACACCCTATATGTTCATCACAGGTTTTTCAAATATCCCCCCAAATCTTCCTTGCATGTTTCCACACTTGTTAATTTGGAAATAAATCCTTCAGAGTTGTATGCCGACTCGAAAGAGCAATTCTCTTTCACTTCTATTCATGGTATGCAATGCCTGCATGGGAGAGATATTCCTTGCAATTCAAAGTATGCAGTCTCAACTTGGAAGAAACCTTTACCTGCTTTTCCTATTTCTTCATGGTTGTAGTTTAGAGCAAAGATTTATTTAGAGTAAATCTGTTAAATACTTCATAGGATACAACATTATTGTCACTCACAATATTTGTTGATAAAAGTGTATTTAATATGTATAAAGACATATTAAATATTTATAAATTGATACAAGTGTATTTGATATTTATAATTACTGTAATTTTGTTTTGTTCTAATGTGAATGTGACAATTGTGTGATGTATGTGACAAATTAATCAACTCATTGTACAGTTATTTTTATTTCCCATGTCCCCCATTTCCACATTTATTATTCTGAAGATTCCACATTCTTAGAATACAGCATGCTTTCAGGGTTGGGAAATGCAACACTGCCTGACCTGAGATGTTACAACTGCAGGTGTCAACGAATCCCTTGGGCTTGCTACCTTCAGTGGTGTCATTAACAGCATCTTTCACTTAAAGCTGCCTTGAAATGCTACTGTGCTCACCCAGTACCTCGTGTTGAAGGGTTAAACTGGAAATTAAAATATGCAAGTGATTTTTTAATTACTATTATAAACAATACAGTGACACAGTGTGCAGGACCTCCCATGCTGGATGAAACTGGAAGTTCTGAACAAACCCAAAAGGCCAAAACCCCCACAAAATATTTTAATATAATAAATTTCATAAAAAACGGAACTTTGTAAATCATAGTTTTAAAAATTAAAATAGCTTCATGTTGGAACTCAACTTTTTGTGTTTCTGGCAATCCATGTTACAGAATAAATAAATAAATAAATAAATAAATAAATAAATGTCTTTATTGATGGTGAGGCTCTTTAGCATGCTCTTCCACCTGACCATAAAAAATTTAATTGAAGGTCCTCTAAAAAGGACTCATTTTGTAGATTACAGTACATAAAACATTATTGCATCTCTAGGGACACAAAAAGTGGTTTTAAGACACAAGCATGCATTATTTGTGAGCTATGCTCAATTACAAAGTGTTGCTTTGTAATGTGTTTTGGGGGTTGGGTGCATGCCTCGTAATTTCAAATATGCCCTCAGCAGACTTCTTTGTCTTCGATGCATCCCTTGGAGTAATTCCCTCTACAAAAGTAGTACACAACCAGGGTTCTGTGTCATTGGTTTCTTATAAAAGGGAACAATCTGCCATTATCACTTAGCATATGATGTACAGAGGGGATAATTTAGTCATGTGTTGCAACATATGAGAACAATCTAATTCCCAAGGAGGTTTTTGTTACTGTGGGATTTTAAGAAGTAATTAATTAATATATTTTTCAAAAAAACAACATGGAGTAACTGAATTTTATAGAGCAATGTTACAAAGGGTACAGGGAAATGTTACAAAGTAGGTAGATTATACTGGAATGTAATTTATTTAATACATTTTATTTCTGTGGATCAAAGTGAAAACTGGTTTCATTTCAAATATACTAAATTCACAAACCATAATCTAGAAAACCAGCATTTTATGTTAATGGAGGATGAATTGTAACTGCCATGCATTTATAAAAAGAAATGCACAGGTATGTCTCAGCAAGATGATTTGTAGTTTACACTTGTAGGAACTATTATACCGGTACAATAGTCTCTTAAGTGCAAGTTGTTAGGCACTTGTGAAACAAATTGTGTACATCTAATTAATTTTTTATAGAAGCGGATAAATACAAATTACATTTCCACTTCCATATTCAATCATAAGAGGCTCCTTTCTTTATAAAATCTAAAACACTTATTTACAACACACGTAATATATTTTGCTTTTGTCAAAAAATACCTTTTGAAGAAATGAATTTTTAAGATGACAACTAAATAAAAATCTTACTGTACATATCTCCAATTCAACCTCAAGGTACTTACCATTAAGAGTTATTAATATAATGAATAAGTACACAGCAGTGCATTTTCAATTCATGTTGCCAATCCTGAACTTACAGGTACTGTTGCCTAGATAATCACAGATTGTATGTACCAATTTTTGTTACTTTACTGCTGTTGAAATACTCAATTTACTTAATGGAGCTATGACAATATGTACTTTAAGAACATCTCTATGCTTTCCAACTAAGTAGGGACTAATGCTATTATTACCAGTTAAATGATTAAGTTCATCAAATTCTAAAAGATCATCAAAATTAAGAATTTTATCTTCTTGACTAAAACAGTGACATCTTCTTATTACAGTCATCACATGTTCAACACCATCCTGAACACCTCTAATTAAAATTCCTACTTCCACCCGCATATCAGGAGGCGGCAAAGGATCTTTACACATCACAGATAATCGAACTGTACGTAACACACACTCGGGAACTTCAACAGTTCCCTGCCACACAATTAAATAAAACTTTTTAAACCAAACACCTTTTGGATAAAGATCCACAACCCATTCACAAGTATGATCACCGGTATGTTCGGCCAGTGAAGAATGACTAGAGAAAACAAGAGTTCTTGCATGGTATGGTGGTAAAGAGGAAAAGTTTTCAACACTAAGTAAGGTGCTCCATGTATCAGCAGTATATAAACGAGGTGTGAAAAGTAGATGTCCTCCATTTTGTTGCAGTACATCACTCAAATGTTCAATATGACCTGGAACATAAGATGTATTTGAACATAATGTTTTCCAAGTCATAACAATTCATATTTACAAGTATAACTTGCCATCATTCACTGAGTCACTTAAACAATAATCATCACATTTATACAGAAAAATTCATTGGATAAACAAAATTTTCTGATCACAAGCAAAACAAAAGATTCCTTTCAAATTCATACAACTACAGGATGAGACATATCAACCATGCATGCATGCATGCATGCACATGTGTATGTCTAAAAGAGTGAGTTTTCTTTGTTGGGAGGGAAGTAGGGGAAGATTTCAAAAACATTAAATAAAAGAAACTTTCAAAATTTCTTAGAAAGTTGTGATATTATAAACAATAATGGTTTGATGATAAATGAAATTGGTGGGAATACGTGGCATTCCAAAACTTTCCATCTCTTAAGGAAGACTGCTTATGATATTACCAACAGTATGTTGAGCTCATGTTCTATCCATCCAAACATTAATGTTGTGGCAGGTTACATGTTCTCTAGCACATCTTATATTGAAATCACTACTGAAAACCTAAAATTGAAGACTACTTTGTATTTTGATAGAAATATCTGACTTTTCAAACTTTTGGAGAATTTAGTGTACATGCTAAAAAGTAATACATACTTCTGTACATAACCATCGGTAGTTTTCACATTAAACCTATAAGAACTACGAGGTACACTAACTGTAATTGAATACAGTAAATCAAACTTCTTGTAACACAAAGATAAAATGAAACATTAAAAGTCTGGAGTCTTTAGGATTTATCATCTGCCTTGTGCAGTGACAACATAAATGAAACAACAACAACAATAATAATAATAATAATAATAATAATAATAATAATAATAATAACAACAATGATAATATTCTTTAAACTAGTAATGTTAAACAAACATATCATTTACAATAACTCAATAATATTTACCCTAACATCAAAGCTTGAATACAACATGTGCTGTACACATTCATTTTATATTGCTCGATGTGGAGGAAGTTGGGAGCAAATGTTTTCACCACAGTTTCTCTACATTTGGTACAAGTTTCAAACATGTAAGCATTTGTCTTGGTATTAACTACTATTATGGTTCTTCAAAAACACTTCATTTGTGTAAATTCATAAATATAAATACTCTTTATTGTTACGTTTAATTTTAAGACTACACTCAAAAACTTTTAGAAAAGTTTAATTTAAAATGTAATAACAAAGAAAGTCTTACCTTAATATAATTTCAATAACAATTCAAAATGTAAACCTTTCATACACAGTACTTCTACTTAATCTTGTATTCGTAACACCTAGAATATTGCTTTAAACAACATTGTTCCAAATACGAAATATTAAATTTTATGCCACTTCATAATTTATCTGTTTATTGTAATAAAATTTATAGGAATAACACTATCAAATAACTAATAATATTCAAATTCTATATTAAGATTTCAAATAATCTTAATATGAACATTATAATCAACCTTTACACACTATATAGAAAATGTTGTACATGCAAACTTTAGAGTACATTTAATTTTATATGGAATATGGATAGATTAATTTAGGTTGCAGCCAAATTAATATTTAAACTGTTAAATATGATAATAAAATACTTATGTTTTCTTAATTCTTTTGTCCATCAATAGTTTCAATGAAATGAGTTTTCAGAATGTCATAGAAAGAGCAAAACCTATTAATACGCTGGGGTGCCTAGAAAGGGAAGCAGCTGGGGCAACTTGTTCCAGGCCAGTTAATTGGGGCCTGGAAAATGTTTTTCATTCAAAATTAAAAAAGCTTTTGCTGTTACACAGAAAAATCAGTTGTTAATGTGTGTTGTAGTGTGGAGAAATCAGTTCTGTTAGGACAAAACTGTTGTTTGAAACAGCCTCCATGGATCTACCTACTGCATTAGACTTGTTTCTTTTGATGGGCAAAAAAAAATATAGCATTAAAAAATAAATCTCTGACTTTAATATTGATGGTGCAGATCAGGTTTGAAAAATATTTTAACTATTGCAGTTTTCAAAATTTCAGAAGTTTTAATGAAAATTGGAACTTTAAACTCTTCTATTCTAGCATAGAATTTAAAGAAAATATAGCAGTCCTTTTTCAGGGAATTTTGTAAATGTCACAGGGACTTCACATAAAGTACTCTAAAAAAAAAATCAATATATCTTAATGATCTCTGGAAGCAGACAACCAGATCTCACTTTTCTCCAGACATATTAACCAAGTTTCAGCTCAAAAGCTTTTAATTCAATAGAGTTATGTATGACACATACTTCTTTCCATCCATCCTGTTTTTCAGGTAGAAAAGTGCATATACTGCCTCATTACCTGCCCCAATCTTATCCATATTTGGAACAGCACTAATGTACCTTAATACTGATGTGTGTGGGAAGTTACAACTCAAAAGAATATTACGCTTACCATTGCACAGGGAAGAAAAGTAAAAATCAAATGACAAGAATTTCTTGCAACCTGACATGAGGCTGCACATCAAAAATATCTATCTAAGAATTAACAAGAATTGATGTGCACATAACAGACTACTGAATATGCAAAGTCAAGTTATAAACTCAACCCAACCTCAATCATAAGATTTGCAATTAAAGGGCAAAGAGCAAAGCCTGAGTGATACTCAGACTTGCAATTTTAACATGGTCTAACTCAATAAGTTAATGTTAGTGGAGCTGAAAGTATTAAACTGAAGATTCTCTAGATTATAATAAACTGCTTGGTCAAATGATACTTATGCACCATATGACAACAAACTAGACTCCACATTCACTTCTGATAGATTTAAATATAAAAGTATTAACACAAAGCAAATTTGTACTAGACTATAAATAACTATATATAACTTGAACAGAAAACTGTTCAAGGAATTCCAGCTTATTCAATAATTAATACAATAAGACCATATAACTGCCAATATATTGTAACAAGTCAAAATAAGAGGTAATACTTCATATGTATTTACATCAAGATAATGTATATGCATGGCCTACTGGGACAGGGATGTACATTGGCAATGTCATGAATATGATTGAGGTAAGAAGAGGAATGCAATCAACAACCAGATGGGAAATGCATGTTCTGAAATACAGATGTATACAATGAATGGATTTTCAGTCAGAGTGGTATGACTCTAAGGAATTTGGATGTGAGAGGGGTAATGCGATATTCACTACATATTCGAATGAGGATAATATCAAGGAAAAATGGATGGACTGGAATATTTGACAGAGTTGTTGGTAAAGTGTTCAGAGTTGGAAATGAAAAAAGAGGATTTTTGGTTTTTTGAAAGATAAAAAAAGGTAAACCACGGTACTGTTCTTGAAATTTGTTTTTTTATTTAAATGTTAAATTATTCTTTTCATTTGCAAAAAATATTATGTAAAGCTTTTTTTTTTCTGTTTTTGTTATTGTCACGAATAAGTGTTCTCTTATATTTTCAAATTGAAAGCATTTTGGATTTGATATTTAGGTAAGTCGCCATACTCAAATCTACAGTGTTTTTGTTACATATTAATCCTTTTTAACAAGTAGAAAAAGAGAAAAAAAAAAACTTAATTTCATTAATACCTGAATGGAAGGACATTCCAATAGCCATTCGTTCCACAAAAAATTCTTTATACATTTTAGTTAGGGGAGAAAGTAATAACTCTGCAAGTTGCCGCGGAGACATCATGGGAAAGCGAATATAAGCCATAACATTCATTACAAGATGTTCCATATATTTAGCACTTTCTTCGTTCATCAAAACCCGCTCTTGTTGAATATCCAACCACTTCACAACACAACTGTAACAAAAATTATGTTTATCAAAATGTTAAATAAAATAATGAATGTTGTTTGTACAAAAAAACATAATTTGACTTAAAATGCAGAATTATGTCTGATGTCTGGAGCAAGAGATATGGTAAGATGGGTGCGTGGGGGGTGGGGGTTAATTTCAGGTGGAAAAAAAATTCACCATCTTTTCTCAATTTGTTCAACTTATGTTTTTAATGGCATTTTGCTGAGAAACGCTTCATTTCTGCACAGCAGTTACTTGATTTCTCCTCTTCTAAAACATCCAGAAGGTTATGCATAGTGACTAAAAGCTCTGAGGATAGTTCTAAGTATTGCTGAAGAAAAAATATATTTTTTTTCAAATTCAAACAAAGAAAAATACAAATTTGTAAATAGACAAAATTGGAGTGTAATTTACGATATCCCTGTATCATGAGTGGCTTTGTGATTGTGGCCAATTTTAGGCTGTCAGAATCTTAGCCCACAGTCAGCTGTCAGAATTTTAGTGCATTCACTATTCAGAATTGACACTACTGTCTTTCTGACTCTTCAACAGCATTTGAGTCTCGGAAATGCACTTAGAAATTGTGTTGATATAAAGAATGTGATAAAATAAAAAAAAATTACAAAATGAACTTCCCATGGCAATCTGTTTCTGGGGTCAAAACTGAAGAAATTTTATTTAACTATATTAGTGCTAATTTCATGAGGAAGATGATGTGTCAGGTGAGTTTTTGTTCACCTGAAATGACTCTCCTGGATATCTTTATGCACAGTGAATAAGGGGTTAAGACAAATTTTCCTACTTTTCAGGACATTTCTCCTTAAGTTTGCAGTTTTGTAAAATCAGGGTTTCATAATTAAATTAATGAAATTCGATAAAAATATATCCAAATGCTGGTAATTTTTAACCTAAATTACGTCATTATAATCACTGTTCTCAGTAATGAGGTACTAATAGATTTGACCAATTGGTCACTGACAGGTTGCCAATGACTGACCAATCCTGCACACAATTAACTAGCTTAAACATTATTTGTAATTCATAGTTATCATTGATATTAGCTCAGGAGATTTAAAAATAAATACAAAGAGCAAAATACTTCAATTTGCGATATATTTAAGAAAAACAAATGCAAATACAAAACAGAAAAATCCCAAAAATCAAGAAAGATGAACGAAGTGGAAGAAATATGTACTAATAATTTTTGCATTGTTATATCTATGTATACAACTTATCCATGTGCTACTTTTTGTTTTCTAGGCCATATCTCACTCCTCCAGAACAGGCTTTGTAGAAAATTAATTCTTTGTTTTTAAATCCAAACGAAAAATCACAGAAAATATTATCAATGACAAGAAAGTAATTATATCATATTTTTATCGACATTGATAGTTGAACATTTGGGATATTTTCCAAAGCAGAAGCAGTGGAATGGCCTGAGTGAAATGAATGAAGTTAATTCTTTCACATTCATTGTCTAATTAATGAAAAGTTTAAAAATAAAATTGCTCTCTTGGCATCCCATTCTGCAGTCAATGCACTAGATTCCACAAAAAGTTGCCCCCTCTACTGGCCTTCTCAGTAATTACAAATGGTCAATTTCATTTGACTAATATGATAAAAATATAAATTATCTCTTTTTGCAACAAGCATATGAAATGGGCTTTTTTCACCAAGTGAATTTAATAATTGATTAATGATTTTCAAGCTTTTTTTTTTAATCACAAAATGGTTTATATTTGTCTCCATATGTGTATGACCATCACTAAAAATATGTGATTCATTGGTTTCAAGTTTGGCTTTTGACTGACTATGTGGAGAAAAATAAAAGCTGCAAAATAATGTTGTGATGTCCTCTCATATGTATCAAGCATAATATAAATTCCTGTACTTCATCAGGTAGGGTTAAGGCTAAATGTACTGAAAAATACTTATAGGAAAATTCAATAAATTTCAGCACTGTTATTGGGGAATTTACATTACCGAAGTCTAAACCTTGTTGGGAATAAATTATTTCCAGCAAGGTATAAACAAATTCAATTTTCTATCTATTCGTGTTAAATATTGACTTTACGCCGTGAAACCTTTAAAAAACTTTAAAATCCAAAACTCATATTTCAAATTGTTTTTCATTGATCCGAGAAGAAATTAAAAAATGTAGGCTTATTGCGCGATGTCGACGTGCTCCCTGAATTCAAAGCCGTATCCAAAAAGGGATGAATACGTGCATCATAAAGTGAAATTTGGCAAAATATAATTCCCTCTTCCCCACGCCGCGCGGCCAACCCTGCCGCCTCTAGAGCGTAAACTTGCCGCCAGCACTGGGCACGGGAGCGCGTATTTCTAAACCGTAACCATCCTATTATAATATCCAATAATTATGGAAATTCGCACATATCGTGCAATTCGTTTTCTACGACATACATGATTATAGATTTGGTCCGTTTGGTGCAATTTATTATGTGATAACGCTCACACTGCCTTTCTCATTCACTGCTTATACATTTGTCTTGGTTTGTGGAAACGCTGTCTGACACATCCGGTGTTGGAAACCGTGCACTGCCAGGCGCGTAGTCACATGCCTTTGCCCCAGCCTCTGTCCATTCTCTATTGATCATCGCATCAGTACAGTAAAAATCTGGCCTATTTCTTCCTGTCTCCTTTTTCGTTCGTTCAGCCCTTCTCCTAGCGAATTTGTGTTGGGTAGCTGCAACTGAAGGTTTACGTCTTCCAATAGCAAAGTTATTGCAAAGCATTACCATTACATACGCCAGTCTTAACCGCGCATACTTAGAAATTCCTACAGCTTTTTTTGACAAAAGTTGCTTTTAGATTTTCTATCATTTCTAACTGCTTGACTGTGAGGTAGTTCCATATTATTTGTAAACTGTATGTAGTTACAGGGAGTAGTTTGTAAACAATTTCATGGCTGTTTCTATTGACAACTGACAGGGACAACAACTAGGGAATGCCGTTTATACGGCTTGTTGCTGCAATTACTCTCCTTTCGGTGAATGTTGTTCCTGTAGTTTGCAGAGTAATTCCTAGGTACTTGGGTGAGCGTGTTGCTCTTAGTTGAGTATCATTGCACATTATTATGTCGTTTCTTTTCACTCTTCCGAAATATTGTAATTTCTGTTTAGTTATATTTGTAGTCCATTTGCAGTCGCCCATCTACTTAGCGCGTCAATTTCCTTTATTAAGTCTCTAACTAATGAGACTACTGCTACGTCGTCTGCATAAATGATTATTTCCACTTGCTTCTTTTGTCACGGCTGGCGTTAAATCATGCACGAGTACGTTAAATAATACAGCCCTTAGCGGATCTCCTTGCAATACTCTTCCACACAAATTTTCTCTGATACTATTACATAATCTCACCAGATTTAGACATTGTACTGTACTGGGGACGCATTTTGCGTTGAAAGTGTCAGCAAGAAGGCTGTCTGAATACAGCCAGTAAGGTGTATATTTTTCAATACAGAAGCTGTCAATGAATGTTTAATATTCATTTATTGGTGATTTCTTCCATAAATACGTTATACAGGATCTTTAGCTTAACTCGCAACCCATGTCTGGAAACACCACCTCTTGTTTTGGCAATTAGGCAACACGCAAAATACCTTCGACACCCCTTTTACTTATAGCGACCCACGGCCGCGTGCCCTCAGATTTCGGAGTGAGAGAATGTGGCTAACTTTAGTTGGAAGAAAGAGAAAGCACTTATTCTGTCCGTTTTAGACTTCAACGTACAGTTTGGTTAACTTACAGCCACTACACTGAAAAGAGTAAACACCTATCTCATGGAAAATTGTTTTATTATTTTTATTAATTATTTCAATTATTAATTTACTATTGATTTGTTTTATTGGTATTTTTAATAATTTTATTAAGGCTTTCTTATTTGCTTAATAATCAGATTTCAATAATAATGACATTATTGTTAAAAATAATGAAGAGCTTGGCGATAATGTTTTACGAGATATCTTTCTGATTTCACTCTTGAGCCGACTTTTATCAAATAATATGTTACGTTGGTGTTAATAAATCGATAAACAGTCATAACTTCTCTCCCCAGTACATCATCTTCGTATTACAGCTTTGTTTCTTAAGCATACTGGACCCAATCCTCTAAAGAGACGTTTTGTCTTTACTCATGTCTCTGATCACCCCTCCACCCTCTACCCACTCTGGGCAGCGCGAAAAGCTTCCGGCGTGTAAGCAGCGTACCTGCCCGCCTAAGCTCTTGAATAGAAAGAACACAGAAACATGAAAGTTGATGCAGCTTATGACCTGACAGTCGCCTCCTCTGCTGACTCGACGTGCGAGGCATGGCTATCTTGAAAGGTGACGAAAACACGCGGTTGCCAAAATAAGAACAAGTGATCTTAGAGACAGGTTGCGAGTTAAGCTAAAGACCTTGTTTGTTAATGTATTTTGATAATTATAACAAAGCCAAGTAATTTACTACTTTCAGGGAAGAAACGTCAATATCACAAGCGTTATAAGGTGAACAACCTTGCATGAAATAGAAATCTCCCTAAACCAGATTTTTTGTGTCCCGATCGATTCCGTCTTAGATTTTACCGTACAAAATACAATTTAAATTGATAGGATTTTCTTTACACTAGCAGAACCCGGCAGTTGTTCTGCCCTTCATCTCCCTCTTTCTACTTCTCTCTCCGCAAGAATGAAGCCCAGGTGGAGCGCATTTTGAATGGAAATTAATTTAAAATCAAGCGCAGTTTTGTTCTGCGGCGCCATCAAGTGGAGTTACAACATTAACAGTCTCAACATTCTGGGTAAAAAAAAAAAAGTACGTGTAGTAGATATACCAACTACACGCACGAACACAGAGAGAGGGAGAGACGGAGGGAGAGCGAGGGGGAGAGAGAGGGAAAGAGGACACTCGATGTCCGCGAAGAAAACGTGAAAAATTCAAAAATAAGCTTTATGACAATGTTAAGCATACTTTTTTCTAATAAATTACTTTGATATCCCGAATGGTTTCCATTTTTATGACAGAGAGCTTCTGCAATTTATTGTGAGTGTCATTTACAAAAAAAGGCAAACACAATTTTCTGCTAAGTGTGGAACAATTAAAAGTTTTCTTAATTCTGAAAAAATATATATTAAAATATTGTAAAATAGATAATTTGTTTTCATTTATTTTTAATCTTGTTGTTCATTTATATTCATTACGAAATTATTGATGAAATACACACGTTACATGCTTCACTAAGACAGTACGTTAATTTCATAAAAGTACTTCCTTGTGCCCAGTTTTGCGTTTTTGCAACAACTCATATCTACGAAATATCCCCCTCCCCCCCAAAAAAATCTGTCATCTTACCTCATATAGAAGTAAATCTAGCAATATGAAGCAAATAGAAAAGAAAAAAGTTCTGAGATTAAAACGCTATTTTCTTAAAAACGGCTCTAAATATTTCAATGAAAATCGCTATGCAGGACGAGGCTTTACTCTTCTTTAATATTCTAAATTTAATATTCCGATTCTCCTATTAGGAAACCATTAAGTTGAGAAAAATTAAAAAATTTACTTTGGGATGCGATAGATGGCAGATGGTCAGAGGATAAGGCAATACCAAACCGAAGGTTCACACTAAGGATATAAGAAAACTTTACTACATGAAAGTCTGTGCCATTCTGTTGCACCACAAGCTTTTTATTAATGAAATGTGTTCATCGAAAACAGATCTTCATATAAGGTCATGTTGAATTTTTCAAAGATATGAGTATTTTTTTGTGTAATTTCGTATTTCCCATCAGCAAGGCACTACCTCAGCGAAGACAAGCTCTAAACTCCCGACTGCTCTCTTGGTTTATGTGGTAGTGTACTGTATGTGTCTAAGTAGGGGTGAAGATAGGGCAAGGAATTGGAAGGAAATATCATGTGTGGTCAGTGGCCCGTTCATTATGGTACTGCTCTGACATTTGCCTGATGCTGATTGGAGAAACCACAGAAAATTACATATTAGAGCAACCTACCGCTAGAATTGTCCTGCAGACAGTGGCTGATATATAGTATATATATACATACATGAGACTGTCCATATATATTAGAAAAAAGTATTGAGTAATAATTAAATTAAAAATTGAAGCTGAAAATTACACCAGCAGATTTTACTGAGCGGTCTTGAATGAGGACCAAACTGAGGGGAGGAAAGAGAAACTTCTGGCCAGATTGAAAATGGAAGCAAAGAAAAATGAAGAAAGAGGCAGAAAGTTGAATAAACATACTCCATAGTGGCTCATACGAAAAGAAAAAATTGAAAATTTAATATCGATAACACAATCTATAACTTAATCTCTAAGTTTCAAAATTTAAGGAAGCCACAGTGAATGACATGAGTAAAAACTGATCAAATAGCATGTATATAGTTTTATTGAAATAAATCTAGAAAGAAAAAAATATAATTATTGAAATAAATCTACTAAGAAAAAATAAAATTATTGAAACAAATCTAGAAAGAAAGAATATAATTATTGAAACAAATCTAGAAAGAAAGAATATAATTATTGAACAAATCTAGAAAAGAAAGAATATAATTATTGAAACAAAATCAATAGAAAGAAAGAAATATAATTATTGAAACAAATCTAGAAAGAAAGAATATAATTATTTAGAACAAATCTAGAAGAAGAATAATTATTGAAACAAATCTAGAAGAAAGAATATAATATTGAAATAAATCTAAAGAAAGAAAGAAAAGAAAAAGGAAAGAAAGAAAGAAGAAGAAAGAAGAAGAAAAAGAAAGAAGAGAAAAGAAAGAAAGAAAGAAGGAAAAGAAAGAAAGAAGAAGAACAGAAGAAAGAAAGAAAGAAAAGGAAAAAGAAAAAGGAAAAAAGAAAGAAAGGAAAAAAAAAGAAAGAAAAAAGAAAAAAGAAAGAAAAGAAAAAAAAAAGGAAAGAAGAGCCTTTTCCGCCTATTTAAAGTATAAAATATGAAATAAGTTACATTTTGAAATAAACATTTTTAAAAACAACCATACCTATAATAAATTTTTAAATGTTTTTTTTAAAGTTAAAAGCGTTTTTCTTTAAATTTTTTATTGGTATGGTTGATTTTAAATGTTAAACCAATCATTACTTCATATTGTGATAAGCCAGAAATTCCTGGTTTAATTTGAATAGAGAAAATGGCATCAAGTTTTAGCAATACAATGCAACCAATAAACAAAGTGTAGTATTCCATGCTTCGAGTCACAGCACTGTTCATTTGGGGAGGGATGGCCGGAGACATTATGTGAGAGGGAGATGTCTCTGGCCATGAAGATGGCATTGAAAGCCATCTGTGGGAAGAAAAAACTAATTGCTCTCTCAAAACCTACTAATCATGCTAATCAATTGGTGCTGTGTCAGTATTTTTTTCAGCATAGACTGGGGTACTAGTTAAATGACAGTGAGGCAGGTAATTTATGTTTAGTTTTAATAGCTTGGCATTGTGCACAGCAAAAGTTTAGCACAATCAATGTTATTTGCGTTGAATCATATTTGTAATATTTTTAATGTAATTTGGGACTTGAATTTCAATAGACTCCCTATTTTGAAGGATTTATATTAGGATAGTTCTGGAGATGGGCAGGAATTTTTAATAAGTTGGCTGAATTTAGAAGTTGCACATAGATGTTTCATCCGAAGCACAGCCAGGGTAAGTCGCGTCTGTACATTAACTTTAGAGAAATTATTGAATCCTATAAAGTATCAAATAGTCGAGGATATTCCAAGAAATTTGTAATCCATTCTAATGATAGGCAAGAGCACGATAATATGGGTATCAAGGACATTCCATTGACAACATCAAGCCCGAGGACCCATTTTATTCATTAGCTCAACAGAATTTTGTAAGAATGAAAGAATGAAGGTTAAATTTTATTATTGAGAGAAGAAAAGGCTGATAATTTCAATTCGTTTATATTCTAGACATTCAATTTCATTTATTCTGCGATTGTAGTTGTTAAGTTACATTGGTGACGTGATGTTTTACCAATATTTACGACAATCTACTCTTTAAGTTTAAACTATTAAACCACTTAAATTTCAAAATTAAATTATTCCTTCAATGCATGTCTCCCCCTCTCTTCAACTATTTCAAATATAACGATAACAATTGACCAAAGAATATTCATAGCACTCAACGAATCTGCACATTTGATAAGAGTGCAACGTAGAAACACTTTGCTGAAGAATTTTTGTAAATAGTTACTACTGAAATGTATATATTGTAAATTATTGTTAAATTAAAATTATTGAATTAATAAAAAGATATTCAGACGGAAGAAGTGATTTACTAGTAGTACTGATAATTTATAATAGTTGCTGTCAATTCAATAATTAGTTTTAATCCACATAACTTCCAGGAATCGTAATTCTGTATAGAACTCCACATGCAGCAGGTAAAGAGAGAAATGTACGTTAGAAAAAAATTGAAAATTTACTTAATGTGATAATATTTTAACGTTGAGAGAATTTATGATCATAGCAGGGCAATGAAAGAAAAAATAATATTGATAATAGTAGAGGAAGTAATCCCTTCGTAATATCCATAAGATTGTTTGTAAATAGTATCAATATTGACTAATTTTAATATCAGTGAAGTAGGTATTTCACAAATGACTTGCTCAACAGGAGGCAACAAAAGTATAAATTTGGAAGAAGTAAGTATATCACAATACTTTATATTTTAATTGAAGGGGAAAAAAGACCTTTGTGGCCCAATGTATAGCTGTAACATTAAATCATGTTCACACAGTTTTTAAAAATTTGGATTTTGTAATATTTTTCCTTCTCCTCCTCATCATCAACACCCTCGGTTTAGGAGCGTCCTTAGTGTAGGTCCTGTTAGTGGATAGTAAAGCAGTATTCCTTCATGTGAAGTGTTTCTGCTGCTGCCAACTTCTTTTCGCATCTATCCCTCTTGCCATTCAGTGTATAGTTTAATGCCATCCATGGTAAATATTGTTTGTCCATTCTTTTCACGTTTTCTCTATTTCATTTGATAATTTTTGATTTCTCCTCCTAAGTTCCCTGTTTTCAGTTATTTCCTAATTGTTTTGAATTTTGTCTCTTCTTGTTACTCCTAACACTGCCTTGACCACTGCTTCTGACACTTACTTGACTACTGCTTCCAACAGTGCTTAGAAACTTCATCTGAGCTACTTCTGTGCTTCTGATTTCATTTATGCCCATTATCCACATTTCTGAACCATACTTTTGCCTTGGTTTTGATGTAATATTATGAATTGTCATCCTTGTTTGTTTTCTCATACATCCAAAATTCTCTCTTTATTATTCCATTGTTTCCATTCCTCCATGGAAATTAACATACCAAATGAACACATTACCTTTTTAATAACTAAATATTTATAAAACTGGTGATTTACACTTTAGATGGGTTAATGATACATTTTCACATTCCCACCGCATGCATTTCATAAAAGCTGATTTACTATTCCTATGAGTATGAGGAGAAAAAAACAAACAAAAAAACAAAACATCTTTCAACCTTTATGCACTTACTACAAGGAAGTGTTTGAATATTGAATATGCAATGGACAACTTGAAATGAAATAGGATATGAACAAAAAAGGGAATGCAGAAAAACATTTGTAAATTCATTTTTTTTTTTTTTTTTTTTTTGAATCCACCCCCAGACTTTACCACACCTATTCCATTCATTCAAATATCAATTTTTACTCACTTGTATAGTATGGTTTCATCATGAACAACCAAGTCATTTTGTTTCAATATGTTAATAAAAACGTCTGGTTCAAAATTACCAAAATCAGATGCTTCAGCCACCATTTCAAAATTCCACTTCACAAAGTTCTGACAGACCTACAACAAAACTCTTTAAATAATGTCAACCAAGCAATTATATTTCACAAGTGAGAGGGATTTTTTTAAATACCTGAGCTACATCATAGTGCCCACATGCCAAAGTATATTGGAGCCATGAAACTAACTGATTATTGGAAGCTGCATGAGCAATGTGCATACACATATATTCTACACATAACTTGACTAGATCCTACAACAAATTTAAAAATTTAGAACATAAAGAATTAAAATGAATTAATAATTTAATCACATTAAAAATGGAGTATGAAGAAACAGAAAAAAATAACATCCAAAATTATCACCTTGACATTATACTTGTCAGCTAGTGAGAGAACTGGCATAACAGTTGCATGATTGATGCGGATACGGCCCGTATAAAAATATTGCAGAAAATCTCCAAATATAGCTGCACAAGTTGGTGTTTCTTGAAGAACAACTCTACTCTCTTGAGATTCACTCCATTCTGGATTCATAAGCATTACCTACAAACAGCATAATCAATATAATAAATCTGAATGACATAAATGCTACATGACACATGATTTTTAAAAAACTAATTTTTTTTAAGTAATGTGTTTATTTTACAAGAAAAAATATTAGGAAAATTGATCTTGAAACTTTTCCAACTAACCTGGAATACCTCGCTAGATGCACACAAAATCAGTCGATGAGCTGGATATTCTACTCCAGAAACAATGAGACATATGTCATTCATTTGTCTTTCCATATACAGCATTGATATTTTTTGTAGCACAGTATGTGAATTATCAATCTGTCCCAAAACAATAATGATGAAAAGGGCTGAAGAAGACACTGTTCTAAACTCATCAAAGTTGCTTAATAGGAACATCCTATAAATTGGGTTGTGGATCTTGAGTTAAGCTCAGTTCTTTCCAATATTTCAACTGTATGTTTCTCCTTCAGCACGGCTGCAGATGCCTCTCAAACATTCCACCTCATTATCTCAATTTTACCTCACATTCTATAAATCACTGGCATATCCACAAGACTTCTCAAATCCCATTCTGATGCATGTTGTAGCTTCAACCATGACTGAATAAGCAAAGTGAAATAGTCACAGTTGAAGCAACAACATATCAGAATGAGAATTGAGAAGTCATGTGGATACATCAGTGATTAATAGAATTCGGGGTGAAATTAGGATACTGAGGTAAAATGTTTGTGAGATAGTGATAGCTGCAGCCCTGCTGAAGGTGAAATACTCAACTAAAATGTTAGGCAGTAAATAATTAAGTAATTTTAATTAACTAAACACAAGATACACAATTCAAGAGGTCGAAATATACAGCATTGAAAATGATATACCTCCATATCTTCTGATGTAAATGAAGCAGAACAGCAGTCAGCTTTGGAAGACTTATTTTCTTTACCTTTGGGTACTGAACCCCTAGTTGTCTGTCCGGTAGCAGATCGGAACATTCTAAGCAGGAGGAAGGACACGCCACTAGATATAACACCTTATACCAACACTATCTAGTATGGAATTTTGAATCACTGTAAAAAATGAGGGAGATACACTAAAGATAATAAACAAAACATAATAGGTGTGTTTTGACTAAATAAAAAGGACCAAATGAAAGATTTTAAGAAACCATACTTTTTTAAGAGAACTAAAATTTCAACAAAATTTAAATATTAACTGAACAGGAAGATAGACATGGCAGTCATGGTTATATTTACCTTCCAAATTGTTCCAGCATTATTTACATGACAAATTTCACTTTCTTTCCTTCTGTAAATTGTATTATAACTTAAAATGGTAACTCTGTATCTATATTTTTAAATACGACACCTTGATGCACATTAATAAACAGTAAAAATTATTTAATTTCTAATCATGGAAAACATAGAAAAGAAATAATTTTTTACCCAAAGAATTGGGGAACAAATGTCAACATAAAAATCCAATTTCTTCTTGTCTCGTCATTGCCCACCTAATGTATGCTTTCCGGAGGCTGAATAGAAATGTCTAATTATTAGATGCAAATAACGCTTACTTACTTTCTTTCTAAACATATCTTAACATTGCCCAAAATATTTAAGTACCGCAAATTATTTGTACCGGCGAGCCAGAGTTGAAGGATTACTGGCAATTAAATTATCTGAATACATGACAGACTGAGTAGTTATTACAATCCACGGTGTAAAAAATATCCTAATTATCTTACACAGAGTCACAACCAGACCAAATCAGACAAGTACACAAGTAACTCATAATTGCGAGCAGGTTGTGAAGTTGTGTAACCTGAGATAAATTCAGTTCATTTTGGCACCACTGATTGCTTTTGTGCAATGGCGGATAAAGATGATTGTGAAGTGAAAAGTGTGGAGGAAAATATTAATATAGATCGTTATAGAAAGCTAGTGAGATCGTATTTGGATTTGGTATGAATTTTTATTGTCCAAGAAAATGTGTGTGTATTTTTGTTTAATGTTGTATTTGAAGATTTGTATTTTGAGGTTATATTGCCTTTTATAGCATCTTTATTCTGCTGCCTTGTTTTGGGCAGACAAGGTTGTTTCACTGAGTGGGGAAGATCCTGATGATGTATATTGGCTAGCACAATGCATGTATCTCATGAAGCAATATCATAGAGCTGTTAACCTGATCAAAAGTAGAGGTCTTGAGAAGGTAAGTTGTACTTCAGATTGATTTTTGTTCACAACATAAATGTACTTCCTCTCAAAACTGTTTTTTTTACAGACAAATTTGTTGTGTCTATACTTGGTGGTACGCTGCCTTTTAGAAGCTCGAGAGCCTACAGATGCATTGCAAATTTTAAGCGAAGTCGAACAGGAAGGAAATTTCAATCTTACAACAAACATGATAACTGATTCAACAACTGTCAACCATTCTTTACTTGATAACAACTTGAATCATGTATATAACTGCTTTTGTCTGTTATATTAATATAACATTTTGGATATATGACTGAGGAGATTTCAATTCTTTCAGCTTCAAAGCGCCATTCTTTATCTTAAAGGCTGTGTATACGAAGCAATGGATAATCGGGGTTTAGCAGCTGATTGTTACAAACAGTCATTACGCCGTGATGTGCATTGCTATGAAGCATTTGAAGCCTTAGTGCAGCACCAAATGCTTTCCTCTTGGGAAGGTGAGAAACATGCCATGAATGAAAATAAGTAGTGATAATGGTGTAGTTATTCATTTAAACTTTTTTATTAATTAGCAAATCAAACAAAAACACACCCCAGACACACACAAATAAAGAAATGATAAATGAAGGGAAAAAATGTTCCTTCTACATCAGGGGTGTTCAATTTGCAAGTCCTCAAGGGCCAGAACTAAAACCTTTAATATGGTGGTGGGCCATATTTTCATTTCTCAGACAATCCATACCTGACTTCCTCATACTGTTGATCTAAGCACTTAGTCCTGATGCTCAGAAACAGGGAGGAAAAATGGAACCATACATGATAGCAGGCTTTATCATGCATTGGACACTGAAATTCTTTAGGATGATTTTGAATTTACTAAGAAAAAATGCCTCAATATAAACTTAATGTATATTTATGTTAGAGGGGTATTGAACGAGGTATGACACATGTGCTAGATGCACTATGTTCTCGTCCGACATGGATTCAAAGGGCTTTCTCTTTTGACAAATAACTTTTCAGGGACCACAATAAGTGGATTACGGACCACCAGTTGGACAATTCTGTTGTAGATGAAAACTGAAGTCACCACCACCTATCGTAGTGAATGCTAGTTCAAAATGTTATACTTTAATGTACAAGTACATAATTAGAAAAGAAGTGCAGTTATGAGTAAGTTTTCAAAGTAGTACAAATGCAGTAAAGTAACGGGATAAACAAATTGCTAGTGCTTTTTTTTTTTTATATCACAGCATTATAAATGTAGAAAAGTACCAAAATTAATTTTTGAGACAAATTTAAAAACAGTTCTGCAGCAAAATAGACGTCGCTATTATGATGCAACATGAGGAGGATGGGCCATTCCATAATTAGCCATTTGATTAACTATTTCTTGCAATGGAAAACGCAAGTTGTGCATTTTCTTCCAATGTTGTGAATAATGCTGATGAACAAAAAAATTATGTAATGAACAGTCAAGAAATGTTTTGTTCTTGTAATACAGTGGTACATTAGTTACATACCTTATTCAAAACAAGAAAGAGTTACGGACGGCTAAGTAATAATTAAAAAACTTCTTCTGATGTAAAACATTTTGTTCTGTGGAGGCTCTCAGCTGCACTTAATGTTTTAATACTTCACAGTGTCCTTTAGCTACTATCTAACATAAGGTGTTTCCTTTCCCATAATGAATTGTCAAATATAATGTATGTAAATGAATATTGCATATTTGATTTGTTATCAAACTTTGCCGTATGGCGTTAGCTTTAGTAGTATGGCTTTGATAATTGTCCAAACCCATAAGTTCTTGTGATACTTATTTCTTTACTAACTATTGTTCAATTTAACTGTAATTGAGGGCCTTATTCTAGCTCAGGAGCAACCATTTAAATATTTATTTTTACCAGCCTTTGTCCTGGCATTCTAATTATGTTGTTTTGACACAGCCTTGAATCAGTTGTTCCTGTTGCTCCTAACAATGGCTTTTCTGGTTTCAAATATTCATCAAAAAACAATACAGTAATTCATCAGAATCACTCATCAGTAATCACTTGTTATTTTCTCATAAACATTTCTGGGTCAATTAACATTAAGCATACATTAAGACCACTTCATTCGTTATTCAGTTTCTTTTCCAGGTTGTACGTATCAAACGAAGGATTTGAATTATGAAGTGTTTTATATTTTCTTTCCTCAATATTGAAGGAAATCAACTTCGTACTTGTTATTAAAGAATTAATTTATGTCTTTTTATGGTTGTTACTGCATTTATTGATAATTTTTCTTCTTTATTATTGTGTTATTTCATTTTTTCACTAGCACTTTTTACTTCCACACTTTACTTTTTTTAAAATTATCAACAAATTTATTCAGAATATTTGGAAGAAATCTTATTGGTTAAATCTTTATTTTTTTCTTCATATATTTCTTGTAGTAATCTGAATGAGATTCATTGAGCAATTTTTTATTTATCTATTTAATGCAATTTGCAGAGGTGGAGATTGATCATCAGGGTCTAACCAATTAGCTTCACATCGATTGTATGCAAACTGTTAAAACATCAAATTGTATACTTGTGACATACAAGGAACAAGAATAACTTCCAAATTGTATACCAACACAGTTTTAGACCAGACTATTCTTTGCATAAGACAGCATGCTACTGTTTGCCAAAACATTGCCAATTCACTCAACCACAGAGAAAGAATTGAAACTATCGTTACAGATTTTTCAAAGGTTTCAATTTAATTCTGTCTGCCAGACTTCTAAATAAAATTACCGAATTGTAAGAAGATCTGTGGATAGACTCTGGATTAGGAAATTACTCCACAGTCGGACACAGCGAGTTTGATTTAATGACTTTCTATCCTACAAGGTAGAAGGCTAGGTAATGACCGGCATCCCTCAGGGAAGTGTGTTAGGGCTGCTCCTTTTTCTTATGTATGTTAAACAATCACACTTTTCGAATCCATCATGTATCAAAAAATTAGGGACAAATTCTACTTTGATCAGTTGCAAAAAGATATTGACGAATTGATGAAATGGTCCCAGGTATTGGAATTATAATTAATCCAGATAGAGGCCAAACAGTTTTATGAAGGGGCGAATACCGAAAACAGTCCCAATATCTGGGCGAATAGTTCAAAGCAACCTCAGCTCAGCTGATCGTGTATATTACACAGGAGGCCTGGAGGGCTCATGAATAAAAACAACGGGGGTAAAGTCAACAGTGAATATTAAGGTACACATTGAAAGGCAGCCCAACTGTGTGCTCTCTTCTAGGGGCACTCAAAGAATAGAAAGCTTTCAGTGAAAAACTTGAAATGACATGCTACTGAAGTAGGAGTGCCCATTCACATAAAATGCAATGTAGAAAACAAAGAACAGATGTAGGAAAATTCAGCTTTGTGAATAGGACCATTGTTGACTGGAGCAACTTACCTGCAGATATGCTGGTGACCCTTCCTTGAGGCAAGCGAGTTATGCATTCAAGATTTCTGAAGAGCGAAAGTGTATAGAACAGTGATGTCCAGTGAAATGCATTGAATTGCGGGTGATGTGGGATGTACCGTTAATGAATAAATTACTGGTTAATGTAGGGAGATGAAGTGAAGAATTGGTTATGGAGGAGAGATGGGAACATTTTATCTATTTCTTTATACTTGTCTATTTGTGTTTTTATTTTATTTCATTCTTGTTTGTTTATTTGTATTTGTTTTATTTACTCTTTTGAATATTTGTATGTATTGCTTCTAATTTTTATTTTTGTACATTTTTTTTTATTATTATTGACCGCCACTGAGTGTACACTCAGTTGCAGTAGTAAATTATTATTTATGTGAATTTGTTCTTACTCAATTATTCTTTTTAGAGAGTGAACTCTTGGATTCATTGCCGTTTTCTGAGCAATGTGCAGCTCATGAAGAAGGATTGCTCAGATTATTATATGAGAGTAAATTGAAAAAATATCATGCTCCAGGACCTGTATCAGCTGCATTACCTTCTCAAATTGCTGGACTCTCTGGCAACTTAGATCTTGCTGTTGCTCAGGCAGAGCGCTGCTATTATAATTGTAATTACCGCCAATGCAGTCAAATTACGGAAGAGTAAGTATTTTATTTTTAATTGGGGTCATGATGGTTTTAGTTGGTATAGAATTCTAATAGATTTATATCTGTGTTTATTAAAGAATTATTTTGAACCAATTGTTTACAGACAGTTTATTCTTCTTCAGTTTTCTTATGTTTCGCATCCTAATCTTTGGATTCTTCTTCAGGTGCTACATATTTATTCATGAGTTTCCATATTCCAGCAACGTGGTCAAAAGTAATTTATTGTGAGTGGATACTACCCAACAATAAATTACAATGGGCTTCATGATAAATGTTGATATGATGAATTCCGTTCAACATATCCATATGTTACTTTTGACTAAGTTGCTGGAAAACGGTAACTCTTGAATAAATATATTTTATGTGATGAAGAATCCAAAGGTTATGATTTGAAACATTGGGAGAAAATTGATGAAGAATAATGAGTCTGTAAACAATTGGTTCAAAATAATTTATTTGAAAGGAATTCTCACTTAAAAATGTTTTCCTCAGTTTGACCATCCTTTTTTATCATAACCCTTATCTTAAAACTACATGACAAGCTTGACAGTACCTTCTGCCGCTGTATCTTGTTTACATCTATAAATTGGACACGTCTCTGTGAAAACAAAGGTGTTCAACTTTGAGAATTTTTGTGTTTTGTTAGTACTTGATGGAACTCTAGCACTCATGTCATAAAACTTCCAAAATTGGGGTAGTAAGGAACATTTGACTTTGACTGGTGTATGAAAAATAGAAAAAAAGCAACATTTTTTTATTTTCTTCAACAAAGTAATATTGGATCTATATACTATTATATTATTGTCGTTTAATTGATATACATTAAATGTGGAACGTAATATGCTTGCAAATGAAGAAAACTAATTACATTTCTTAGAGTCAGTTCATTGAAATATAACCACAGGTTTTTGCCACTTCTAATTATTCTGTTGTTTGAAATTCCTGTGAATAAACATGTAACCCCCATGGTAGCCTCCATGCAATATTTTTTTTGTTTTTAGAACAATCTATAGATATTTTGAAGAAAATTAATTTTTTATGCTGCCTCAGGAAGTGTTAGGAGAAGTATTTGATTAGAAATGAGTGTCAGTGTATACTGAACATTTCCGAGATGACTTATTTTACTGATTGATGTGGAACAAGAAAACTGAATGATGTAAAATAAATACTAATTAAGGGGTCGTAATTATTTCTTCTCTTATTCTTTACCAGTAGAAGTGATACTATATATTAAAGAACTGTTTTCACAAATTTTTGCATTTTTGCGTAAAGTATCACTTTATTTCATTTACTTTTTGTTCAAATATATTTTTTGACAATTGTTTTTTGTTTCCTTGTAGAAGAGCTGTTACCTATTTATCTTTGTACTTTATGGCCCAAGAGACATTTTACTTTCATTTTTGAGTTTTCTCTATTTAGTTAGAAAGTTTGGAATTTATCCTGATAATAGAGCACCTTCTTTGCTACTGTAAGAGTAACAAATTTTGAGCAAAGTTATTTCTTTTAGTACTCTCATTGATGTGGTTTTCATTAGCCATTCCCCCCCCAAAAAAATTCTCTCCCATTTATTGCCGCATAGTGTTGAAGATGATAGAATATTTCCGTTGATAAGTATCATCATAATGTCATGTTAGCATACCTGTTAAAATATGTGTCCTCCACAAAGTTATAATGTTTGTTCTAAATTCTCTTTGCCTACTTCATGTTGGAAAACTTTGCCTAGTCCATAACTAAATTTACAGATTTTTCTGTGACATTCATTTTCCAATTTACAATCAGAAATTTCTTCTTAATAATATTTACCTCCATACACTACCTAATAGTACGTGTATGTGAAAAATTGTATCCCTTTTTAAGCAATTTTTAAAAATAAATTTTTATTCTCTCAAAAGCACAGAAAAAGCTAAACATACTTTGAAAAAATGTACATCACTTTATTTATAAGTTTTCATTTGATTTCTTTTGTCAAAGAACAGTAAAATTTGTATGTGATGTATGTGAGAGAAGTACCATCTGCACACTTTTCTTGAGTTCCAGAATCTCTCCCCAATAATTTAACTATAAATAGTGAAATGATGAAAAAGTTTCATGAAAGTGAGGTGAGCAACTTTTGAAAACTAGACATTTTCACTCTCCCATTATAGAAAAGGTTTTTGCATTAGTGAAAAAACTGCAGATTTGAATTTTTATGTTGCTAAGAAAATAGTAACATATAATGCCAGCTCTACTCCTAGTACTATTATCAAAACGGGAGCTCATGAAAACTTGCGCGTAGTGAAGTTACATTTATGTCCAGAAGCAAATCATGGGACAATTTCAGCATTTGCTCAGTGGATCAGGGAAATTGGGCAAAAACCTGATTGAGATGGGGTTCATTGACTTGAAAGTTAAAGTACATTTCTTGTTAGTTGTATTAAGTCTTTTTTTTAAATTATACAATACAAATGTGAACAATGGCATTATATTATAAGGTTGTAGAAAAAATATAATTTTTATTTTTGATGGTCAATATAGTGTAATTGTATAGAAGAAGTAATGCAGCAGAAAAAAATTTACTTGTAACTTAAACATGTGTGTTGATTTTAATTGTTTATTGTTATCTGGCAATGTGTTGTAAAGTAATGTACATGTTTTCTAAGTGGATTTCTTGTAGTGGGCAGTTGGTACTGATGCCTGATGAATGTTATTTCTACAATGTGTGTTGTAATTATAAATATCAGTATTGCATAAAAATATGTTCTCATCATTAAGAAAATCAGTTTTGACAAAAGCTACTGATTCTTAAATAAATAGCCAAAGTAATGGTAGGATTCCAAGGTCACTGAAGAGAGGCTTGTAGAAATCACATTGGATGGCATTTTCTTATTAGGGGCCATCCATAAATTACGTAACGTAAGTTTGGTGTATTTTAAATACCCCCTCTCCTCCTTGTAACACACCCTTAATGTGCAGTTGAACCCTCCCACCCCTAAATAATTACGTAATGCCTGTGATTACAACCGCCTCTTTAAATTCAAGAAGTGGAAATAAGTTATAGCACAATAAACAAATTGTATTCATTTTATTTGTCTTGAATTTAGTTGTAGTTAATTTAGTGTTTAATTCAGGTATATGAATATTCCATTCGATTGAATTCAGAGACCAAGGAATTTTGTTACCTTAACATCAGCCATATACTTAACAATTCAGTACATTTATATAATATAGATTTATCATATCATTTGTCACATAATTTGGACAATCACAAGAGGTGGATAAAATGGATCTGTATCAAAAATTGGATTTAACTCCTCTGCAACAGCACAAGAAAAATTTCAAGAACTAGATCAAGCAATATGTCCATTACATTATATATTCTGCCAAATTGTGGTAAATTGAAACTAATATTGCTACAACAGCGCCTACTTTCTCGCAATATTGTTAATGGCAATGTGATATTATAATATGACAATTTCTGTCTTACACTTCAGCCCATTTAAAAAATTCTTAAGGAAACGAAGCCCTAAGAGCACATTTTTTATCTTTCTCGCTTCTGATTACGCAGTAGAAAGAAAATTATGTAATCCTGTGGAAAAAAAGCTGTGAATTTTCGGCAGAAATAACTCTAATTGCGGGGCTCTAGTAACAATAAAGTGGATAAATCTAGTTGCTAAATTTAGGAGGGGGAAAATCCTCTAACACGTGGTGTAGCCAGAATCCAAGTTTTATGGGTCTTAGTTACCGAAAAATCGATTAACGACAAAACGTCTGTCTGCCTGTGAACAACAGTTAAACCGGTCAACCTATCTTGTCCAAAATTCTTCAATAGATCTGGCTGTTGTTGCGGCTATTTGAATTTGAAACCAATACTTAAGTTGGGGGTTACTTTACATCACACTCTGGGACATTTTCCAAATTTCTGAAAAATGGCTCCGTTTTTGATCAAATTTTGTTGTTTGATAGTGTGAAGAACGTTGAAGAGAATATTGTACGTCTCATGTTCGTTAAAATCCCTAATATTTCGAAAATTGAAAAATTCAAAATATTTTCAGCATCTTTCTACAACTACAATTGTGAAGATGCAAGGTTTTTGGCAATAAAATGTGTTCATAAAAAAACAGATCTTCAAATAAGGTCTTGTTGCATTTTTCGAAAATATGACACTTTTTTGTGTAATTTTGCGTCAAACAGTCGCCCACTTCGTATTTCCTGCACTTTTTGAACGTAATTTGAGAAGTGTTTGGAGACAGTTGGATTGTACGTAAGTTAGAATTTGTGTATTAATTCATATTTTATTGTTCGTTTCATACATTCGAGCTTTTGTTATACGTTTACAAATAAATCTTCTAGAAATTATGTAAAACTTATTTCATACTCCATGTTTTGTCCGTGTTGCGATGGATGTATTTGCATTATTTATGTATTGATGTATTTTCTTTCAAGCAATTGGCAAATCTCAATTGAAATTAGCCCACTTAGGTTTTCTCTCATAGGATTTAAATGTAATATGAAGGCAAAATTGCGTCTTCAGGAAATATCAGATTGGAATGCGACAGTGGCAGTCCCGCGAAACGGCAGCTGTAGTTCTGTGAATTATGACTCATATTTGGAACATGATTTAGATGTATGAAACGCAGTTACAATATTATTACAGACCTGGATGACTGAGATGGCTTAAGCTTGTGCTGACTTAGCGCCTCAGCCTGGAGAGTCCCGGAGGGTCGTGAGCATGGTTGATTGTCCCTTTCCTTTTAAGTATGTGTTTTTGCGGAAGGCCTTGTGAGTCTGCTGACCACAGACCGAGGAGTCTGATATTCTACAATTTATAATAAGGTTTACAAAAAATGGTAATTGAGATGTGTTAATTCGGAGAGAAATTGCGATGTACTAAATTGTATTACATACTAATCCTTACTAGGGGCGAAAAAAAATGTGCTGTTTTACCACCACTAGTTTTTTAATTCAAACGTTTAAACGAAAACAGCTTTCTGCCATTCAATTCAGTGTATTCACGTTGTATAATAAATGTACCAACGATCCACGATGCTTATTTTGCCGTAAATAAAATTATTTTATAATAGAGTGAATCAACGGCGGCCACCATTATCTCCTTCTATCAGTGCTAGTTGAAGTAAATTTCATGAATAAATAATATTAAACGTAACATTTCTTTTCGATATTCGAAGGACAGCGCCCACCTTTCATTTAACACCAGAAATACAAAATTTTAATCCACTACTCATTCACTTTTTCAATCCGCTATTCACGATGTTCCTTCTTTCACAAGAAGCACTTTTCAAGAAACACCGCTTGACAATGAGAGATTATTTTGTGAACTTCACGCCGTATCGCGACGTTCCGATTGTTAAATTGCAACTTCATAACCAGTGGCCAGAGAGCTGAAAAGTGAATCTGAAATTATCGTACATTAATTAAAAGTTCGAACAAAATTATTTTCAATAGTTAATTATAATTAAAACATTAATTATCATAATTAAATTTAGTACATTATAATTGAAATAAAAGTCTGCAACATCGCTCGCGTATCCTACAAGATACATCGTATAAATCTTAGAAAGTAAAACTGTGCTTAGACCCAAAATGAAATGCTCAAAGCAATGAATATTCCAAATCAATCAGCTAAATATTACTTTTCTTACGAGAAAGTTATTGCGAGAAATCATGTTCTACCTCCCATAATTTGTAATGCTTACTTCAGGCCTGTGTTAATGAACGGGCCCCGAAGGGCCCGGGCTCAGGGTGCCCGACAAAATTGAAAATGTAAAAAAATAAACTAAACTAGTGGTGCTACAGAATGGCACAGTTTTCCGTATTCGTTTTCTATTTCCTTTGATCTCGGCTAGGTATACGAACTTGCCAAATACTATTGCCAGCTGCCATCTAACCCCTCCCAAAGTACATTAAATTTTTTAAAAAAACTTTTCTGTTTCAAAATAATAGAACGGAAATGTTATTTTATGGATATTAAAGAACAGTAAAACCTCGTCCTACATTGCATTTCTTTTTGAAAAATTTGCAGCCGTTATTAAGAAAATAACACCTAAGTCGTGGAGTGTATTCAAAATTTGAAGCTCTTTTCACTTAAAATTTTTGAGTTATCTAAAAACTTCATTTTAAGTCATTTGAAGCACTTTAACTCACAAATACAATATTGTTTACAAATTGCTGGAAATGTGCATAATAATGGCGTGAGAGATCTTTCAAAAAATTTACATTTGTGCAATTTTTGAAAAAAACAACAACTAAAGAATACAGCAAAATTAATTCGTTGTCATCTTAAATAGTGCAATTAGCATTAATCATTATGTATTAAAGTATGAAGAAAAAATGTGGTGCCATTTTTGAGAAAGTGAAAATTGTTGAGGAATGGCAAAAAACATACATGCGATTTTTTCCGAATGGGTATTCCCTGGTTGATCTGCGTCCACTCAAGGGGTTGCGATTTTGAAAATTTTTCTTTAAAATTTTAGGATTCTTTACATAAAGCCCTTGGACATTTTCAAAATTTTGATACAAAAGGATCAAACATTTCTTGTAAAAATTGAGTAAAATATACTTACAAAAGTGGCATAGGTCCGATTTTCACGGTTAACTCTTGAATTTTTGAAAATGACAAAAGTTAAAACTTTTTCCCTTGTATTCCTTTTGCTACAAAATTAAAGCTAGATATTTTTCCTTTAAATGCAATAAAAATGTAATATTTGCAATTTTAAAAAGTTATTAAAACAAAATTTTCTCAAAAATGGCTCCAAATTTTTTGTTTAAACTTTTGGTAGCGATAGTACTAAATGCACTCTTTAATATGACATAAACGTCATATTGCTCTATTCTTTTGTTGTTTTTCAAAAATATAATTTTATGTACTTGACACTCACGTTAATATTTACATAAGCAACAATTTGATCAGAGTTTTGTATTTATGAGTACATGTAATTTAAATAAATGCAGATAAAGTTTCTTGAAAACTCAACAGTTTTCTGTGAAAATGAATTCAAAATCTCGCACTTTCAGAAACACTCAAACACCGTTTTCTCAAAAAAGGCTCCAATTTTTTCCTTTAAACATTTTGTACGTGTAATGCTACTTGCACGGTTTAAGACGACGTAAAGTTAATTTTGAGGTATTTTTTTTGTTTCTTAACAAATTATACAAAACTAATTTTTTTGAAAGATTTCACATGCTGTCTATATGCACATTTCCAGCCATTTGTAAACACTATTGTATTTATGAGTTAATGTGTTTCAAATTACTTCTAATGAAGTCTTTTGAAAACTCAATTTTTTTTTCTTCTCAAAGTGATTTTGAAACAGATTTTCTCGTGTAAATTATAAAATATTATTGTGTTTATACATACTAATATTGATATTTATTCAGAGTTCTGAAGAAAGATCCTTACCACAGTAGCTGTTTACCGGTACATATCGGATGCCTGGTTGAGCTTAAGAAAGCAAATAGTAAGTGTGAAGTATACTGTATGTAAATTGATATTGATACATGTTTATCATCATTTTAGGAATTTAAATGATTTTTGCTGTCATTTTTGTACCAAGTTACAATTACTTCCTTGCAACTCATAATTTTTATTTTTACATTATTTGAAATTCAGAAATTGTTTAATTGATTAATTGGTTAAATAAATGGAAAACCTGTTACAGAATTGTTTTACTTGGCACATCGACTAGTTGATTTATATCCTGAAATGGCAATATCATGGTTTGCTGTTGGATGCTATTATTATGTGATTGGTAAGAAATCAAAGAATATTTTAAGAATAGACACAATACTTAAACATAGCCAAGTGGAAACAAGTGAATTCAAGTGAAACATTTTAATTATCTGTATGAAATATTTTGTGCAGGGAAAAGTGATCCAGCTCGTCGATATTTGAGTAAAGCTACAACTCTTGATCGTCTGTTTGGTCCAGCATGGTTAGCATATGGTCATTCGTTTGCTGCCGAAAATGAACATGATCAAGCAATGGCTGCTTATTTTAAGGCATCTCAGTTAATGAAAGGGTATGGAATCAACACATTTTAAATATATAATTTAGAGTTTGATATTAAGTATTATATTTGTAAAGGTTTTTATATTTCAGGTGTCATCTGCCATTGCTGTACATTGGTCTAGAATGTGGTCTTACAAATAATGTTAAACTTGCTGAAAAATTCTTTCTTCAAGCTCAAAGTATTGCCCCTGAAGATCCATTTGTTATACATGAAATGGGTGTCATTGCTTTTCAAAATCAAGAGTGAGTATTTTATTCTTTTTAATTAATTTCTGCATTAATCTTTAAAGAATTTTTACTTTTCTTTGGATATCTATTTAAGAAGCAAAGCATCGGATTTTGGTCCACAAATTTGAGGTTAAAATTTCAATGGTAGAAATTCCATTAATATCTTTGTTATAAAAGTTAATGAATTGCTTTTTATTTTTCAATGCTTGTAGTATTGTAAGTATTTTTATTGCTCATCTTCGTACTTTCTCTAAGAAATCTTTAACAGAACTGAAGTCGGGGTACCGAATTGTGTTTCTTTAAGGATTGGTCTCATTTATATTCTCAATATATGTATGCTTTGGAATATCTTCTTGAATAGTCTTTAGACTTTCTTGTTCCATTTATTCATTAAATATTTTATTTATCACAATATTTCATGGTAACATATCCCCCAACAACGGTATAAAAATATAAGAAAAACATTTTTTCATATTATTAATGACATAGATTTCCACATTGAAATAAATAAAATTTAAAGTTTGCTTAAAAAGACAACGATGTTTAATTAACTGCATAGTACAAGCAGTATATTAGAGATTGTCCATGGCGTAGTGGCCAGATACGCCATCCTCCGCTGGTTCGAGTTTATGGACTGGAGGTGGACAAAGCCGTTTTCTAGGGGTACTCCCATTTCCCCTGCCAATATGCATTACATCAGATTGCTCCAACAAACAGTCCCTACTCTATCCTGTCATAACCACCATTCTGCTTAGCATCTACGGATCCCAGCGACTCTTAGGCGATAACGATGAACTAGCTGGGAAGGGCTGTGGCTAGTTCAGTGGGTTACCGACAGGTACAGTTCTAGCATGGAGAAGTAGAGAGTGGGGAAATGGTGAAGGAATGGGCGTTGCCCCTTCCAAGACCCTAGATATGGATAGCAAAGTGTTGATGTAAGGCCAGGCAGGGCAAGGGGTACAGCTTGAAGCTGGTGAGGGGGGAAAAAAAGTTTTACAAGCAGAATATTGGAAAATATGTTCATCTCATTAACTTAGGTGGTGTAGTTTTGCAGTTGGTTTATTTATGGATAAGAAAGTGTAAGAATTGTTAGTAATCATTTGCCTTTTTTGGAATTAATGTAAATGTGTCATATAAACTATTCTAGAGAGAGTAACTTAAAAGACCAAAATTGTTCCCAAAGATCTAGCTGGAAGCATAATGCCAATTTGCCCCAAAATCTCAGCACTATTATAAATGATAGTAAATACCAATATTGATGTCACATATTTACTCAAATTTTTTTTTGTTCAGATAGGTTCAGCACAGAGGTGTAATTGAGGTAGTTTGCTATAATTTAAAATCGTTGCCAAATATTTCAACATAACCCCATGTTGTCAATGACACTACAAGTGCTGTCAAAATGATAGTTAAAATTCAATTATGAATAGAAGCTCTCTGACATCCTCTGCCCTTTCAGTGGAATTTCATTTAATGTATATTGGAATCAATTGGGTTATGTTTGCAAGAGAATTTTTTATAAAACATTTATCTACCTTGAGAGCCCCTTTGTATCTTAAACTCTACCAATAGTATTCAGATAATTTTATAATAAATTATCAACTTCTAGTGATTTGAAACTGTCATACATTTTAGTGTCACCGGCAAAGAGCAAAAATTGGCTTTTTTTTCTTCTTTTTTTCTTTTCCATAATTTTCATAAAGGCTTCAGTTGTTATTGTGATTTTGAATTAGCGAGTTTTCAACTGGATTATTGAGATACTTCTGAAGTCTTTTCGTGTGTGAATGGTAGTTGACTTAACCATTTATAAGGTTGCCACTTTCTGGAAAACATGGAAAACCTAAAAAAAATCAGGAAAGTCGAAAAAATTTATAGAAATATCTTGAAAAGTCGGACAATTTTCAGAGGCATATCAAACTAGACAGTATTCATTTAAACAACAATTTTTTTTGTTGAGAAAAATATTATTTAATTTCTACTCAGATGATCTCTTTAAAGCAGATAAACGCCGTTTTGAGATCAAAAATCGAGATGTAGGATAAAATAGCTCGTGCGTATACTCCGCTCATTCTTTCCGGTATTTGACAACGGAAGATCTTAGAGCAAGGTGGAGTGATGACCTTAGAAGTAAAATATATATAAAATAAGATGTCTGAAGATGGAATAATGGTGATATTTACAGAATTAGTTCATTTTTTTTTAAAAACCAGTTCCAAATTGGAATCGATGTTTTGAGTAATGCCTCAAACAATTTTAAGATGGTATTTGAAGGAAGACGGAAATATGTGAAAAAGACAGTTATGTACTACGATTACAGACCGTTTACCTCGGTGTGTAATAATAGTATAGCATCTCTAGTTTGGTATCTGTGGAAAAATAGATTGATATGCAAAGTGACGCCGAGTAAACCGAGTGTTTTGCTTGCCTGTCCCGCAAGTCCCGCCTCTTCCGCCGGGGCTGGCCGTGCCGCCGCGATGACAGAGGGCCCACAACGGGAGGGTGTGTGACGCATCGAGGGGGGGAGGTGTTTTCCTAAATTTCACTTTACGAAGCTCCTATTCGTCCGATTTGCATGATTGTCACGGCGTTGGATTCTGGAAGCATGTCGCCATCGCGCTTTAAGCCCTCATTTTTTATTTTTTTCTCGGAAGTTTAAAAACTAATTTCAAATTTGAATTTTTGCTATTTTTTTTGGAAAAATGGCTTCGTAGCGTAAATTATATTTTATAAAGGCGTCAAATACCCGTTTACAGACCGAAAATCGGACCATTGGTTCAGAGATAATCATTAAAGTAAATTCCCCTGTGATAGTGCTGCGATCTATTGAATTTTCCTACAAGTATTTTTCGATGCATTTAGCCTATAATGGAACGTCCATTTAAATAAATTGATCACTAAATTAAGTTCTTTATGCTACGCTTTCAGAATTCATCCAGTCAGCCTCCATACTGCTCGTTGTATATATTTCGCGAATGTTCATTCCCGCCTGAGATTGGCCTAATATTGTGAAGAAATACATCTTGTAGCTCCGAGACTTTTTGATTTAAAAAAGGATTGGGAATAGTAATATTGAATAGAATTGAATAATAAGCAAATCCCACCCAGGTGATTCTTGTAAGCCTCTCTTTATTAATCTAGGTATTTTATCATTACCTTGTCTCTTGATATATAAATCAGTGTTTTTGTCAAAAATTACTTACGTAAGGGAGGGAATGTATTTTCTGCAAACGCTGATGTCAACAACTACAACACACGACGTAGTAATCATATTCATCAGGTGACAATATCAACAGCACACGACAAAAACTTCACATACAATACATGTACATTATTTTACAACACCTTGCCAGATGACATTAAATTATTTAATTCGATACAAAAGTTAAAGTCCCAAGTAAAATCTTTTCTCATACACAACTGTTTCTATACAATTAAAGACTATACCGAGCATTCAAAAGGAAAGTAATATGAGATGTAACAACGACAGTGTATAATTTACATCTTGGATTGTATAATTCTAAAGAACCTGTAACGGGAAGTGTACTTCAGCTTCTGAGTCAATGACCCCCATCTCGACCAGGCTTTCGTCCAGTTTCCCTGACCTTTGAGCAAATGCTGAGATGGCTCCCTTGTTTTGCTACTGGAGATAAATAACTTAAGTAACTTCCAATTAACGTCTCCCCAAAGCACGTTTCACACAGATTTTAACTATTTTTGATGTAAATATAAATAAATAAACAAGCGTGATTGCTCCCGGTACCTTCAGGATCGGGATGTCTTTTAGATTGCCTGATAAAATAGGATAAGGTGTACTCAACGTAAGTTACTGAATAAAATGCAGTAATTTGTTCAACGTGGTTCCAGAGGGTAGTCCCTTATTTATTTCCTCAATATTCAACGAAAATGCCACTACAATTTCTTCCACATTCTGTCTTTGCAATCTGAACAAAACAAATTACAAGTCCCATGCATTACAATAACATTTTTTTTCTTTCTTTACTATTTAATAGTTCGCTTCATTTGTATTCAACATGTTTGTTTTAACATTTTGACAAAACCGCCCATTACGCACAGCTGCCATTACAAATGATGAGGTCGTGAATCGGTTGTCGTCACGCAGGAAAGTGAGCGCCCTTTGACGCAATAACGCACTGAAAAATGAGACGTGCGCGGAAAGGCCGCTGTGATAGCCAGTCTGGGCTGAGTGAAGGTCGACGCCTCTGGGGAGGCGGGAGGCGGACTCGGGAAGCAATCAAGTACCCGGGGCGTGAGAATCGCCCACAATGCACCCATCTCCAGGCGTTGGCGTCGAATCTCGCTCAATGATGGTGATACTGCCGCGACCGCGCTATTTTCAAGTGCGAAGTACTTTCAGAATTCGTTGTTTTCGGGCACTGCTATGCGCGGTCGAGTATTGTAGGCAATCGCTAAAGGTTCAAATCGCGAGTAGAAATTGGCGGCGAGAACCTGCCAGCAAAGTTGAAGTAATGGAGTAATCAGTCTTTTCTACTCCAATCATTGCTTACCTCAAAGTCATGTATTCGTCTGCTCTCTTCGCAGTCAATTATTCTTCTCCTCCGCTCAGCGAAGAGCTCCTACCTCGTAAGCCTGATCTCCCACGCTTTTTTCAGATTTTTAAACAATGTGGACAATAGTGAAAAACAATTAAAACTAATTTTATCAGTTTAAAAATTTGAAATTCGCATCAAAATCTGGAAAATTATTTTTCACCAGTGATTAAACAATTTGTATTTAATTTAACAATTTATATTTAAATTATTGAAGAGACTCACCAGCATGTTTTAGGACTTTCTGCTGATAAATGTAGGTTTTTATGTAATTGTAGTATTTTTGTTATCGAAATAAAATCATCAAACCCCTTTTGTTTTTTGATTTTTTGTAGTCTCTAGTATAAATCAAATTACTCGATTTTAGGTTATAATATAAAACAAAATACTCAGTTATATATTAATAATTAACAATTAGAGAATCATGGACAATTAATCATTGGCACT